ACCTATTCATCCTCACTGTTGTGAGGATGAAGTGAAGCAATGCATGTAAGGTTCTGAGCACAGTGCCTGGTTCACAGCGGATGCTCACAAAACAGTGCCCGCTTTCCTAGTAATAATAATGATCATCATTGTTGTTGGTTTGCATGAAGCCATAGACAGACATGGAAGACAGCAGCCTCACTTCCCCCCAACCACCTCCTAAACCTACCAGCTGACTCACTGTTCCTCAAAGACTTCAAACATATTCAGACCTCAGGGCCTTTGTATTTGCAGTTCTCTTGACCCAGAAAACCAGGTTCGGATATCCTGTGTTCCTCTCACTTCCTCATCTCCTTGACTCTGCTTTCATTTTGTTTGTTTCTTTTACTTTTAGACTTATAACATTCTAACAAGATAAAGAATTTACCTACTATTTTTATCAGCTGTTGCCCTTCCTTGGATTAGGACCTGAGGTCAGGCTGTTGGCCTGTTCTGTCTCCAGCTGGATCTGCAGTCCGAGGACAATGCTGGCATACAGTAGGTGCTCCACATATATCTCTTGAATAACCAGTTGATGCCTTTACCTCCTCAGGCCCCTGCTCAAAGGTACTTCATTCCAAAGGGCTTCCCTGACATAAATGCCTCCCTCCACCCCTTCGCCCTCACTCAGCTTTATCTTTCTTCTCAGCTGTCATCCCTGGCATATCATATATTTACATTTCTTCTGTCCTCAGCCTGATTTCCATGAGGGCAGGGGATTTTTCGGTCTTGTTTTATCTATAGCGAGAACCAACTTCACAAACATGTGACCTGTGCAGTCACTCACAGCCCCACGCTTAGAAGGTTTAATGCACCACCCTTGTTGTCTTGAAATGCTTCATTACTTTGACCAGGGGCCTTGCATTTTCCCCTGCCCTTGGCTCTTCAAATTCTGTAGCCAGATCCCCAGGGCCTGGAACAGCCCATGGATTTGCAGAATAAAGGAAAGAATGAAGGAGTGGATGGCCAGCAGAGCTCTGCAGTGCAGGGAAGAGGGGCAGAGACACACCACTGCTATCCGGACACCTGTGCACGTTTGCAGAAACCAGTCTTGGAAGAACCCCAGGCATGGAAGGCAGGGCATCACAAACCGGCTGAGTCCCCAAGGTAGAGGGGTGCCTCTAAGCCTGCCTTCCCCTCCCCTGGGTAGCAGGCTGGCTGGGGATGGGGGTCCAGATGGCAGAGCAGGCTGCTCTGGGCAGCTGGCACCAGGCTCAGGCTGGGAGAGGCTTGCTTCCCTTATCCCAACTTGTCAGCACAATCAGCTAGTGGCCCAGCCTGGGAGCCCCTGGCCTCGCTTGACAGTAAAGCACTGGCTTCACCCAAGCCCAAGCCCACCATCCTTGGGAGAAGGATGCAGGGATGGATGGCCAACAAGAGGGAAGGAAGTGAAGACAAATGCCCCCTTATCCACACCTTGGCCCAGAGCATTCAGGCCTGAGAAGGAATAGTTACTAACCAGCTCTATTCCTGGAGCTAAAAAGCAGGGCCAGGAAGGATTGTCAGGGGCCCCAGGCATGTGTATGTGTATGCATGTGTGGGTGCATGAGAGTTTACAGCTGAGCAAGTAGAACTTTCTATGAGTATGTGTGTCGCACAGCTGAAACCAGAGCATACCTGCAGCAGTGTATGTAGTGACAGAGCAATGTTACATCAGCCTACGTAGGAATGAGACTGGATGTGCCTCTGTGTGATCATGGTATGAATGTATATGTGGGGAAAGAGGGGGTGGGGAATACACACATGTGGATGCAGTGGGAAGCAGAATTTCACAGTAGTTAGAAATACAGGTTCTGGGTTCAAGTGTTTACTCAGTCACTCACTAGCTATGTGGCCTAAGGCACGTTATTTAGCTATGTTGGCTCCAGCCCAAATATGGTGTTAGTATGATTTTTATCTGTCTGGATTTAAGTATGTATGTTTGAAGAGTAATTCAGCAATTCCAGGAGGCCTTCCTGGATACCCAACCTGAAGTGGGCCCTTCCATTTTTCTCTTTTGACACAGCCTTCTATTTCTATCACAGTCCCAATCAGAATTTGTTGTTATATATTTGTTTGTGTTGTTTCTTTTTCTGGCTTCTCCATTAAATGTCACCCCTGTGGGCACAGAGAGTTTTGTTCTGTTTCCTGCTGTGTCCCCAGCACCTGGCATAGGTGCTGAATAAATATTGTTGAGTAGCTATTCATCACAGTATGGCTGTGTCTGTGGGTATAAAGAGGCGGAAGCTGGCTGGGGATCATGGGTTCCTGGAGGGTCCTGTGCTCAAACCTGGTCTTGACTTTCTTCCTTTCCCATTCCCTCAGCCACGCTCACTTTATGGGAATGATGATACTCCATCAACTGCCTGTATTGCCTTTGACAAGCTCTTTCCCCTTTTCTGGGTCTTAGGAACTCACCTACTCACCTACCATCTGTAAAATGGGCAGGAGGATGGATTGGTTCATGATAAGCCTCCTTCCTGACCTAAGGCACTATGAAATAGTCTTTTATTGAGCACCCACTGTGTGCCAGGCACTGTTCTGGACCTGGCCCTGCCCTCATATGAGGAGCTTAAGTGAATGAGGAAGACAGATTATCAGCCAGAAATCTCATTTCATCAGGAGCACCCTTACTTCCAGTCCCTTTCTATGTCCTATGAAATTTTAGACTTTATTCTGATTCTGAATTCACCAGTGGGTAGTATTCTCTTTACACACAGATCTTGCTCCCTCATCAGCCTTGAATATAAGCACAGCAAATGCTGGCTGTTTTTATTGGTTGCTACAGCCCCACCACCTGGCTACAGTGCTGTGGCACGTAGTAGGCATTTGGGAAATATGTGTCAAATGAGCTAAGAGAAATCAATGACTGAGCAAAGGCAGGCTCCCATGCATGACCTCACGGAATCCTTGGTGTCATTACCCACTTAGCAGATGAGGGAAATCGAGGCTCAGGGAGGCAGAGCCGATGCCGGGGTCCCACCCGTGCTAAGTAGTGTGTGGCTGTGGGATGCAGCAGAGAAAGCTTGGATAGTCCACAGGACCACTACCAGTCGCCCACCCCCACCTCGCAAGTACGAGAGAGACCGCAGAAGATGCGCTGATGGAGGTGCTGTGAGCAACCCAGTGGCAGTGCAAAGCAGCTCAGAGGCTCTGTCTCTGTATCCAGCTGGACATGCTGTGCTGGCAGATTAGGAAAGTCTTGGCGCTGATGGGGAAGCTTCCGGCGCCCTGTCCCCAATTCTAGGAGCTGGAGGGCTCCTGGGACCCCGTTTCACTGGGGCCGGTCGGCTCCAGTCTCGGAAACCAGGGAAAGAGCTCCGCGGAAACCCGGGAATCTCTGGCATCTGGGGTCCTCTCCACACATCCATAGCCGGGAGGCCGGCCCCAAAGGGCGTACCGCAGGGCCTCGGCTTTCTCGGGGAGCGGGAAACCCCACAGCGTCCTGGTCCCCTCCCTCCGGGGTGCCGGGTCCCCTTCCCCACCGCAGCTCGCAGCCGCGAAGCTTACCTTGCAGAGGGGCTGGGGAGGGAATGCCCCGCCCTCTCCGGCCTGAGGGCAGGAGGGGACAGGGGTGTCCAGACCCTTTGTTTGCTGTTGTGTGTGTATGTGTGTGTGCGCGATTGTGAGACCCGCTGGGGTATGGGTCCGTGCGCGCGCGCGCCCGGGCCTTGACGGCCGCAGAGATGCTGGACTGCCTGGGCTCAAGGGGGAGGGGGAGAGGAGGGGGGGGAACTCCCCCGCCCCCGCCCGCCCACTCGCGGGTTTGAAAGATGCTCGAGGGGGAGGGGAGGCAGCGGGCGGGCGCTTTTGTCCGGAAGGCCCCTCTACTTCCCTGGGCTGGGGAATCCCCCCATTTTGAGCCCCTTAGTCCATTCCCTACAGCCCGCTCTCTCCAAACACCTTCTGGGGGGTAGTCTGGGAAAAACGCCCCTCATCCGAGGGGCTGGAGCTCCTCGCATCCTACCCGCCCCCACGGAACGCCCTTTAATCTGAGATAATCCTGGCCCTAGGCTGCAACACGGCCTTTTATCCCAGTATCAAAACGAGGGTGGGGATGCACGCAAGTGTGCAGCTGGGGTCACCCAAGCTCACAGTAACGGAGTCTTTAGAGGCCCGGCGGAGTAAGGGGGCTCCGGACCAAAGGGGAGGGGCTACGAACGATTCTAGAGTACCACCACGAGGAAAGCCTCCATCCGCACCTCCACGATCCCCTTCCAGTCCCCCGGCTGCGCGGGGCCAGGAGCAAAGGCCCCCTTTGGCTAGACTTTAGTGACACCCAGCGGCCGCACGGGGAGACGCCTCGGACAGGAGTCCGAGATCCGTTGACTCGGGCGGGGGCGGGTAGGGAGGAGCCGGGGTGGATCTGGGTGATTTTAGAGGGGGCGTGTGTGCGCGAATCCCGGCTCAGGAATGCGAGGGGGAGAATGGTCCGAGCTAGGGAAACACCAGCTCCCAAAGCAGGGCCACATCGCCCCCACAGCCGATCCCCCCAAGGGCGGAGCCACGTCCCTCCTCCACTTAGACCTTTCCTGGGCAGGGCTCTGTACCCCAGGACTGGGAAAGTGCTCTCATCAGACACCCCTCCCCAGCATAGGGTTAGGTCCTCTTCTCCAGGGGCACAGGGACAGGTCTTCGCGCCGAAGCCGGCCCCTGCAGTGGGTTCCGGCTGACGTCACTGCGGCGTGGCTAAGGGGACAATCCTCAGCTACAGTCTCGCCATCGGCCCCGCCCCCCGAGGCCGCCGCAAACGCGCACCGGGGGGACAGCTGGAGATGAGGGGGGCTCGAGGTTGGAACGCCAGCCCGTATACCCTCACGAGGTGCCCGCGGAGGCCCCGTGCCCAATGAGGCGGGGTCTTTGCGGGGATTCCCGGGGGCCGGAACACGTGCGCGGGACCCTTTAAGGCAAGCGGGTCTCCACAGCCGCCACCGCGGTTACTAGGGATGTAACGTCATGCGCGGGCGGGGACGTGCGCGCCAGGGCGGAAGCGGAAGGGGCGGGGCTCCGCGGGCCGAGTCTCCAGCGCTGCCGCCGCCAGAGTCAGACCCGGAGCCGGAGCGGGCTGAGCCGCCGAGGCAAGATGGTGGACTACAGCGTGTGGGACCACATTGAGGTGTCTGACGATGAGGACGAGACGCACCCCAATATCGACACAGCCAGCCTCTTCCGCTGGCGGCACCAGGTAGGGTGCGCGCGCCCGTCCCCTTCCCCCTCCCCCCCGCCCGGGACTCCGCTCCAGAGTTCTGACCCCTAGTACTGTCAGGGACCCCGCATTGACACCTGGGATTCCCAGCGCATAGTCTGGGCTTTCAATACCGCTTGGGGTTCTTCGATTCGACTCCAGACCCCAGAATTGCCAGGGCGCTGAGTCCCTACCGGAGGTCCCCAGCCTCCCCTCCGATTTCTGCGTGGAGCTCCCAGTTGACCCTTAGAGCACCTTTCTCCGAGTCTAAACTGCTAAGAGAAGCTTTGGGGGGTGTCCCCCCAGTCCTTTCTGGGACCTTCCACTTAACACGCAAAACTCTGCCTCGGAGCCTGGACTGTGATCCTATTCCGGGAGACATTTCTGATCTTGGATGTACCATCTGCCCCTCCCCAAATCCTAGGTCTTCGGTGCTTTGAATTTATTCGGAGATCTTCCTCCCTGGTTCCTGACAGGGATTCCCATTCCTTCTCCAAACAGAACAAGGAACCCTGCCCTCTCCTGAGGTTTCTGTTCTTGGCTTGAGAGTCCAACCCATACCCGGACCCCTTCCGTAGAACGTAGCTGGATGCTCCACCAGGACCTTCGGTCTCATCCAGAATGGAGTTTTGGAACCCGCTTGCCCAAACCGGACCACCAGGTCCCTTCTGATGGAGTCTCGAATTCCAGCCACTCTTTAGCGTCACCTACTGTGGACCCCGTTTCTCATTATACCAGGAAACCCTGCCCCACAGGGCTTCCGGCCCCTCCAGAGTCCCTGCCCCTCCTTGGTATTGCAGGCTCAGGCACCACCCACCCCCAACAGTTTCCTGTAGAAGCCTCTGGCAGCCTTGGAATGCCTTCTACCAACTCAAGTCCAGCACCCAAAACCATCCAACCTTCCTCCTAACCCCAGCTTGGTCTGTTGCTCTCAGACACCCACATGTGCCTGCTCTAAGGACCCTCCCAATTTGATTCCAGATTTACTGCCCCCTCTTTTTTTGTCTGTTTGCCCCCAAATCCAGATCCCAGAATCCTGTCTGCTTGTCCCATCTCTCTCCCTGCCCAGCAATGCTCACAGGACAACAGAGCAGCTCTCATAAGACTTAATATTCTAATCTCTTGCTCCCCCAAATCGGAGCTTCTACACCCACATACTTGTGCGTGTTATACTCCCACTTTGAGGGCGTATACCTCTCAGAACCTTCCAGTTAGGAATTCCTCACTCCACCCTCGCATATGGCAACTCCCAGTCATTTATCCAGAACCTCCTAGAAGGGCCCTTCCCCATCCTGTGGTGTCTTTAGTCCCCACATCTGGTCTCCAGTCCCATTTCCAACCCTTACCTTAAAGCAGCACTCTTGGGTAACATACCTACCAGGCAAGCCACTGAGAATGTAAGAAGAAAGTTCTAGCACTTTCATTTTTTGCCATGTGTAACATTTTATTATGAAATGCTTAAGACTCAACGCAGAGCTCTAAAGACTGTTCTTGGGAGTACCTACTTTTGTCACATAAAGAGGTTAATCTATACAGCTATGTGGAGAGCATTTTGGTCCTGCTGGGTGGGAAGCCAGTGCCCCCTCTCCTGCAGAGTTCTCCCCACCCTGCCTTCCTCCCTCCTGGAACAGAACCTTTTCTTATCTTGCTGAGGACCCTATGGCTGTAGTGGAGCCAGGTGGGGGTGGGGCGGGGGGGGAGGGGAGGGGAGAGAAGCATCTCTAGCCCCAGCTTCAGTGACAGGCAAGTTTGGGTTCTAATCCCAGCCCTACCACTTACTGCTTTACTTTCTTTTTCTTTTTTTTATTTTTTTTTGTTTTATTTATTTATGATAGGCACACAGTGAGAGAGAGAGAGGCAGAGACACAGGCAGAGGGAGAAGCAGGCTCCATACACCGGGAGCCTGACGTGGGACTCGATCCCGGGTCTCCAGGATCGCGCCCTGGGCCAAAGGCAGGCGCTAAACCGCTGCGCCACCCAGGGATCCCCCACTTACTGCTTTACTTTTCCTGCCCCTGGAGACCATGCGAAGAATGAAATGAGATTAGGCCTGACAAGAACTTGGCTCCCGGCCTGGGAGGGAGTAAGCATATAGGAGGGGGAGGCAAGATTAGGAAAAAGGTAGCCTGCTGCACTTCTGAGCACAGGCCTGCACAACTGGGTTCCAGTCCTGGCTCCTGAATCACTGACTTACTGCATGACCTCCAGCAAGTTGTTTGATCTCTTTGTGCCTCGGTTTCCCTAGTTGGGAATATTAAGGGTATCCACCCGATAGGGTTGTTATAAGAGGTTACTCTATTGAGTACGTGTGATGTCCTTAAGGATAGCACGTGGCACGTGATAAGCTCTCTGTAAACTTTAGCAGTTATGGTCATTGTTATTGTTTAGGTAATCCGTGCTCCGGGAAAGAAAGATTCCAGAAGTGCCAGAAAGAGACAAGGGAGTGTCCCAGCCCCACCTCCCTAGTCCGGATACAGCTACTGTTAAACTAGTTTCTTGGGACTCCTTTCCTCAAACTATGGCGCTGTGATTCTGTGAGCGTCGGGTTCTTTGTAAGGCTGGAAGGTGGTGACACCTGCAGGTCCCAGCTCCCTGCTGTGGCCCCTGTCACACCCAGGCTGCCACAGCCCCTCCCAGAGGTGGAAAGCCCGTGCTGGGCAGGCTGCCGCCCCCACCAGCTCCAGGAGGCCTTTATTTAGCTCCAGTCTCCCTGGCGGCCACTCAGAGGACATTGAGAAGAGCTCGGTGGCTGCCCAGCAGAAGCCAGCAGGGTGGTAGGCTCCTGCTGCCACCCGAGGCCAGCTAGAATGCCAACCCCAGAGAGCCCTGCAGCAGGAAGCCCCCAGGGCACCCCAGGCCCCAGGGGGAAAATGGCAGAGCCCCAGGCCTCTCTCTTACTCCTCCAGGAGGCAAGGGCCCTTTCGACCTTGACCCAGCTGGGGAAAGTGAGACTCGACTGTCAGCAGTCCTGTGGGCCTAAGTTAGAGAAGGCTCAAGGCTTCCCCATTCTCACCTACTGCGTGCCTGACTCTGCTCCAACTTGGAGATATGGCTTCAAAGAAGGCCCAGAAGTGAGTTAGTGAACCACTCTGGGGCCAGTGGCCAGGATGGTGACGCTAACAGCAGAACGTGTTCATTACGTAGGGCTGCGCACAGTTTCCTGGGAGTAACTCCTTTGATACCGCGTTTTTCCCAAAGAGGAACTAACTACAAGGCTAGAAGTGTTTAAGTGTCTTAGCCAAGGTCACCTCACCAGTACGCGGTGGAGCTGGGTGATGTGACAGTGCGGTAACAACCACTCCCAGGTATTGAGCATGTGCTCTGGGTTGGAAATTGATCGAAACACTCGAAGTATGCTTTCTTGTTTGAGCCCCAGAATGGTCCAGAGAGAGAGGGAGATTGTCCCCTTGGATAGTAATGGCAGTCGCCACCACGGGAATGGTGCTTGCCGATCATCCAGCATGGCTCTGGACTGTCTACTTTGACTTAAATCTCCTTTGCTTCTCCTAGTGCCACTCGGTGAGGTCGGTACTGTTGTCTGCCTTTGACAGATGAGGAAACGGAGGTCCCTAGGGGTCAGGGGATTGACCCAAGGACACCCAGCCTTTACTCAGTAGCCACAGCTTATGACTCCACATCTGGGGCCCTGAGGCTGTTCTCCAGTGTCTTATCATGCTGTCTGATGATCTTGAAGGGGGCTTTGAGGCACAGTGATGGGGAATGGGGGGCCCTTGGGGAACGCTCTGTAGAAGCTGAGACCTGGGGCCAAAGGACATGGAGTGAGAGGAAGAGAGTTCCAGGTAGAAGGAGCAGCCTTTGCAGAGTCAAGAGTCAAGAGCAAGCTGGTGCATTTGGGATCTGCCTGCAACCCAGAATTGGGAAAGGAGAGTGGGACCCTGGCCCCCTGGGGCCTGGGTGCCGCTTGGGCAGCTTGGAGTAAGGCTTTGGGATCCCATCTGAGCGCAGACGCTCCAGGTTGGGGTGGCAAGAAGGGCTGCAGACAGATGTGCATATTTCCAAAACTGGCAGTCTAGCTTGGAACAGCTGCGGAAGGTGGTGGCACCTCTCAGGGCTCAGTCAGGGGCTCTGGATTGAGCAGGCACTGCTGAGAGCTGGGGGAGATGATGGAGCAAAGCAGGGGTGGAGGACAGACAGGGCCATGCCATGTGGTAGAGAGTCCAGTGGGGATCTGAGCGAGAGGGGGAACGAGGGCACCATCTGAACTTGGGGTGCAGCAGCAGAGGAGGTCTGGGGAGCAACAGCTGGGGTAGCGGGGACAGGAGGCCAGTGGGCACCGAGCTAAGGTTCAGGGTGGGTGTGCTGGCCCAGAGACATAGCTGATGGGGCCTTGGGCAGCCATCCAGGAGTAGTACTCTGGGTGGACCAAATTGGAGAGACTTCTAGAAGCAAAAGCCGTCAGGACTGGGTAGGAAAGAGGGAGGAAAGGACAGGACCAGTGAACAGGCCTCAGTGGGGGGCATCGGAGGTTGTCGGGCAAGGGAGGGCACCTGAGGGCGGCTCCAGGGAGGATGGGTGGCCTAAGACCCCCATCCAGTATTTCCTTACTTTATTCATCCAACAAGTGTCTCCTGAGCCTTGACTGTGCACTTGTGTGTGAGACACGAGTGAGCAGATCCCCCATCTCTAGGGACCCCACTCCTCAGAGAGGGATAGTGTTGCGAACATAGTAAATAATTGTCACCAGATTGTCACCAGACGCTAGTAGGTAATGAGTGCTGAGGAGGAAGGTGAAACAGGACACAAGTAAGGGGAGATTGCTGTCTTCATTCAGCAGGGTGGTCAGGGAAGGGCCTCATCTGTAAAGTGACGTTTGAGCCAAGATGGCAAGGACGTGAGGGAGTAAGCTGGTTTGGGGGCCAGTGCGGGGAGTCTGGAGAGAGAACTTTCCAGGCTGGGGGAACAGCCAGTACAAAGGCCCTGATGTTAGAAGTGGGTTCAAGAAAAGACAAAGCAGCTACTGTGACTTGGAGGGAGGGGGCAGATTGTGCAGGGCCTTGTAGGTCATAGATAGGACTTGGTTACAAAGTAAGGTGTGTGCAGGTATCCTGGTGGGATGGAAGCTGCCCCCCCAGGGGGGGCACAGAGGGTGGTGCACACATTCCCTGAGGCCATCCCAGGTGCACCAGGGTGGGAGCCCCGGGTGGGGCAGGGCCGAGGTCAAGGGACCAGCCCTTCCCCGGAGTGCAGGGCTTGTGTCTGCCCACAGGCCCGGGTGGAGCGCATGGAGCAGTTCCAAAAGGAGAAGGAGGAGCTGGACAGGGGCTGCCGTGAGTGCAGGCGCAAGGTGGCTGAGTGCCAGCGGAAGCTGAAGGAACTGGAGGTGGCCGAGGGCGAGGGCAGCAAGGTGGAGCTGGAACGGCTGCAGGCTGAGGCTCAACAGCTGCGCAAGGAGGAGCGGAGCTGGGAGCAAAAGCTGGAGGAGATGCGCAAGAAGGAGAAGAGCATGCCCTGGAATGTGGACACGCTCAGCAAGGACGGTTTCAGCAAGGTGGGAGGGGGCCAGCAGGGTTCCCCCCATGCAGGGGCTGGTGGGGTAGGTGGGGGTAAGGCCTGGGCAGCTCAAGGGAGGGACGATCTGGCATAGAGAGGGTGGAGGGACAGGTGTGGGGCCAGGTGGATGAAGCACCCCACTGGTACCCCCCTCTGATCTGCCCGAAGGCCCTAGTTCGAGGCCACACCTGCCACACCCACGCTCCCGCCACACTGATGCTCATGGCGCCGTCACCACCTCCGCCGTGGAAGGGATGGGCGCTGCGGCCTCGGCCCACCCGGCCGTGCTGGAGGCGCTCGCCCCAGCCCACTCCCCCTCTCGCCCCATCACAGAGCATGGTCAATACCAAACCAGAGCAGGCGGAGGAGGAGTCGGAGGAGGTGAGGGAGCAGAAACACAAAACCTTTGTGGAGAAGTACGAGAAACAGATCAAGCACTTTGGTGAGTTGGGCCGTTGGAGGGGGCCAGCAGGCTGGGGTTGCACAGGACAGGGGCTGGTCCTCTGCCTCTGGGGCCCCTCAGCACCTTGCCAACACCTTCTCGTAGGCATGCTCCGCCGCTGGGATGACAGCCAGAAGTACCTATCAGACAATGTCCACCTGGTGTGCGAGGAGACAGCCAACTACCTGGTCATCTGGTGCATTGACCTAGAGGTGGAGGAGGTGAGTGGAGTCTACCCCGGGACTAGGGGGAAGCCCTGCCCTGAAGCCACCACTTGGTGACATCCTACCTCTTCTCCCTTGGCAGAAATGTGCACTCATGGAGCAAGTGGCCCACCAGACCATTGTCATGCAGTTCATCCTGGAGCTGGCTAAGAGCCTGAAGGTGGATCCCCGTGCCTGCTTCCGGCAGTTCTTCACTAAGATCAAGGTAGTGTCCCCGAGGAGCCAGGGTGGGGTGGGGTGTGGGCCTCTTCAAGGCACCAGCCTCCATCTACAGGGGGGATATTCACAGGTCCATTCAGACTTGGGGCCGTGGGATCAGAATCTGTTCAATCAGGGGAGGCCGGAGACATGGAGGGGCCAGTAGTTAGCCCCCGTTTTGAAAGACAGGGTGTGTGGACAGTCCCGACGTGGGGTGAGGGACAGAGTCAAGGATGCCTTAGGGTTCCCTCACCTGAGCACCTGGAAGCACAGAGCTACCCATGATGAGGCCTGGGAGGCTGAGGGCAGGGCAGCCTGCGGGGAGCGATCAGAGCTTGGGTGAGGACATAGGTGAGGTGAGCATCACAGGTCTGTGACTCGAGGCAGGCACGTGGTCATTAGCACGTCAGCAGTAAAACCAGCCTTCGGGGGCAGGCCCATGGGAGAGATGGACCGAGCCTCTGAAGAGATCTGGGCCCTCCAACCCTGCAGACAGCTGACCGTCAGTACATGGAGGGCTTCAACGATGAACTCGAGGCCTTCAAGGAGCGCGTGCGGGGCCGCGCCAAGCTGCGCATCGAGAAGGCCATGAAGGAGTACGAGGAAGAGGAGCGCAAGAAGCGGCTAGGTCCTGGTGGCCTGGACCCTGTTGAAGTCTATGAGTCTCTACCTGAGGTGTGGCTCCCCGGCCCTGGGTGGGCAGCAGGTGGGACCCCCAGGAAATGAGGCCCTGACCCCGGCCCATCTGTACCCGCAGGAACTCCAGAAATGCTTTGACGTGAAGGATGTGCAGATGCTCCAAGATGCCATCAGCAAGATGGACCCCACTGTGAGTAACCACTCCCCAGGCCCACCCACCAGCCCAGCTGAGCGTCGGGGGCAAATGATATGTCCCCTGCCCCCCTCCAGCCCTGCTCCCCACATCGCTGGTAGAAGTGTCCCTTGTGGGCTTCACGGAGCAATAAGGGAGGTCATGTCAACCGTGTGGCCAGCACATGAGCCAGCCTATGGAGCATCTACTGTGTGATTACATCCAGCAGTGAACTTGGAACTTTGAGCATATCCCCTGCCACTGTCACTGCCCCTGTGGGCCATTTATGAGCATAATGGGCACACCAGGTTGATCCTACCTTTGTCCAAGGAAGGAGTGCTCCTCCCCAGCCTTGGTTACCCAGTTTTCTCTGGATACTAACTTGGAAAATCCGGGAGTGAGGGGGTGCTGAGTACATGGTAAATGTCAGCTGTTGTTTGTATGTGTGCATGTATTTTAAAGTAAGCCTCTACCCAGTGTGGGCCTTGAACTCATGACCCCGAGATCAAAAGTCACATGCTCTACTGATTGAGCCAGCCACGTGGCCCTAGCTGTTGTGACTAGGAACAGCAAGGGTGCTGGTAGATGGGACTTTGTGTCTTTATAGACCTTGGTTCGCCCCCATTCCTGCTGTTTGGCTCACTGGTCGGCCACACTAGTTTCCTCATCTGTGAAACAAGTCTAGTCACAAGACCAAGACCTGGCCTTGGATTTCTAGAAGCTTCCATGAGAATGGATATCTAGACCTAGAGTCTTCACACTATGGTTCATAAGCTCACTCCTGTGTTTATCAGTTTTATTGGCATGCAGCTTTTATTCTGGGTGTACACTATTTAAATTTGAGTTCAAGTTAAGTAAAATGTGAAGTTCTGTTCATCACTTGAACTAACCACGTTTGAAGTGCTTGGCAGCCACGCATGGCTGGTGGCTACCATGTTAGACACTGCAGATTACAGACAATTCCCATGATTGCAGAGTCCTTTGGACAGCTCTGATCTAGAATGAGTAGTAAGCAAGGCTAAGGATGTGGTTTAAGGATGCGCCACCAGGGGTGGCAGTCCTGGCCTCACTCGCCACCCTTCTCCCCACAGGATGCGAAGTACCACATGCAGCGCTGCATCGACTCCGGCCTCTGGGTCCCCAACTCCAAGTCCAGCGAGGCCAAGGATGGGGAGGAGGCGGGCCCTGGGGACCCCTTGCTGGAAGCTGGCCCCAAGGCAGGCGACAAGAAGGATGTCAGCGCCTGACTCGCCCCAGCTGCTGCCCTCCTGCCTGCAGGCCCCTGTGTGCCCCTTTTCAGAATACAAAAATAGATGCCATCTCCCCAGCTCCTGGCTTCTTCCAGTTTCACTGCTCCCGCCCAGCCTGGGGCCAGGAGAGGGCCTATCCCCACCCCCACTGCCCCCACCTCCAGTGCTCATTCAAGTCTGCTTTGAGTCAAGGGGCTTCACTGCCTGCAGGCTGCTACTTCCTTCTCCCTCCCCCCAATCAGCATTATGCCAAAGGCCTGGGGGTTCAGGGAGGGGCGGAGGTCACTAGGCTGGTTCATGGGGTGGGGTGGGGAGGGTCCCCAGCCCAGAGGCCTGCTCTGATCACTCTGGGCTCTGTTCTCACTGTTCATCTGCTGTGAGTCTTCTATATGGTAAACAGCAATGATTTTCCAATAAAGGATTTCAGATGCTCAGGGGGGCGTCTCAAGGGCTGTTGACACAGCTCTTCTCTTGGAATGGGAGGGAAACCCAGTGAGTGTTGAGAGGTCTGACCTGTGATGCCTCAGGCTTTATCCTCCAGCTGTCTGGGCAGCTCCCTCTATTCTGATTCCAGGTTCTTGAACATGCTATTCCACTGCCTAGAACATTCGTCCCTGGGATTCCTTTACATCAGAGTTCTTGTTTTCCCCAATCCGCTACTCTTTGGCTGGCCCCCCAAGCCCCCTGCCATCACCCATTCAGGAGGATCCCCTATCTCTGGTCACTGCCCTTTGCGTCCATGGCCTCCACCCTGGTCCAGATCCGCACACCTCTGGCCTGCAGCCTGCCCCAGCTTCTTGTCTCCCACCCCCCTTCCACATCAGACCTCAACAGGCAGTGGCCAGAGGGTAGCCATAAACATGTGAGTCAAGGCACATCATCCCCCCCTCCAACAGCAGAAGCCCAAAGTCCTCTGCAGCTCATAAAGGCCTGCACCATCTGCCCAGTCTTCTCTGCCCTGATCTCACATCCACCTGTCTGCCTTCCCTCCTTGCGGGTTCTGGAGCACTTTAAATTTCTCTTTATCAGTGTGACCTTGGGCAACTGACTGTCTCTGTGCCCCCCCCCCCACCCCGCACAGTGAGTAATGTTAGTGCCTTTCTCCTGGGGTAGTGCTAAAATGAGATCATGCCACAGACAAGCAGGGCGCCTGGCACGTAGATTCTCAAAATGTGGGCCTTGGTGTATACCTGTTCCTCTACCCAAACACCCTTCCCTGCAGCCCTTGGGGGCTCCTTTAAGTAACAAAATATTTGGGGCAAAAGGGCCTAAAGAATAAGATGCACAAGGACATGGGTTGAAGATGAAGCAGTGAAGCCCTCTGCCCAAAATCCCAGGAGACCCCACCCCAGGCAGCTGCTTGTCACTCAGACTAGAGCTCAGTGCCTCCTCTTCCCCCAGTGCCCTCCTGGACCCACCTGAATTGCCCCGAACACCCAGCCAAGGCAGCTTGCCTCACCTGATGTGTGCCAAGCTTTGCCACCCTGCGTAGTCCTCTCCCTTGTGCTGTGAGCACCAGCAGGGCACAGTCTTTGGTCCTGCAGTATTCAACAGTGCCCTCAGGGGATCTTTGCATTCCGTGGTGAGGGCTCTGAACATCTAAAGCAAAGCACCCCTAGATGCTGTTGTGTCCAAACTGATTGCCACCAGGGGGCAATGGTGAGCTGCAAACCCTGGTGGCATCACCTCAAGCTTTTATGTGATGGGAATGGCAGGCAGGGATCTGATCTGGAGGGCTTGGGGAGGAGGAAGGCATCCTTAGTCCTGGATAAACCTCACCCATCCAGGATCCATCCAGGATTGGCAACTCATTATTTACTGTGAAAACTTTCAAAGATAGAATCCCTATTCCTGGTTTTTCCTTTTGCCTCAGGCTCCAATGTAACGACACTGTTACTGATTCTTAAAATTTCAATATTTTGTTCATGTTTTTTTTTCCCACATTAATTGTGCTTTTTAAAAAATATTGCATTAAAGTATTTATCTTGGTTACTGAGCTTTTTTGGCGCCCTTTTTGCTTTCATGCCTCACTTCTCTTACCCTAGTGTCGGTTGTCCTAAGGATTTAAAACATCAGATACTAGCAGGAGTAGCTCTGACTCTGCTCATCCTCCACTCAAGTGGTTCCCTGCCCCCAGTCATGGGAATCCATGGGAACCCACTGTCCACGGTTTCTCGTGACTCCTTCCAAGGTTTTTTTTTTTTTTTTTGTAAAATTGAGTGTGTTCTTATTGCCTCTCTTCTTTGCCTAAAACTTAGCTCGTTTTAGAGTCTGAAATGCATCTTGCTTTTTTTCTGCTGAGCCATTAGGACCTGCAGACCTTCCTTTATCATTCCATCAGCACTCATTCTTTCTATCCTGTGTGGAAAGCTCCTTGGGGTGCCTATCTCAGCATTGGTTTCATTGGGGGGGGGGTTCCAGTTTCTGTTTCTTCAAGCCAGAAAAAGCCCTGTGCACCGCTTCCCAAGAGCGCAGGCATCCTACCTGTAGGAAAAATTCCCAGAGACAGGATTGCTGGGTCTTAAGTTTGAGAAACAGAATTCAACTCAAAAGGGTTTAGCTGAGCAAATTGTAATGAAAGGATTGATGTCATCAATTGAGTGGGGTTGGAGAACCAACGAATGTGTGTTGAGTGTATCCATCTTCTACAGCTGTTATAACAAATAACCACAAACTTAGTGCCTTCCACACCAATTTATCGTCTTACACTTCTGCAGCTCAGCAGCCTGACAAGAGTCTCACTGGGTTAAAATCGGGACATTGGCAGAGCTGCAATCTGGAAGCTCTGGGTGGGATCCATTTCTTTGCCATGACCAGCTTCTACAGCCTGCTCACATTCCTTGGCTCATGGCTGTTCTATCTTCAAAAATGGCAAAGGTAAGTCAGTCCTTCATATCACATCGCTCTGATTTCTTTTTCTGCCCCCCTTCTACTTTTTTTTTAATTAAGATTTTTTGTTTTGTTTTTAAGAGAGAGTGGGAAAAGGGCCAGAAGGAGAGGGAGAGAGAATCTGAAGAAGACTCCACGTTCAGTGCAAGCCTAATATATGACTCAATCTCACAACCATGAGATCATGATCAAGATCATGATCTTGGCCAAAACCAAGAGTCGGTGCTGGCTCAACCGACTGAGCCACCCAGGCGTCCCCCCACCCAACTTCCACTTTTAAGGATCCCTAATGAATCCTATATTCACAGATTCCAGGGATTAGTTCATACATGGCCATGTGTGTGTGGGGGTGTCTGTTACTCTGCCTACCACAGGGAGGAGCCACATCCAGGGCTCAGATGCATGGGCAGGACACAGAATTAGCAGAACTCATGAGGGAGACACTCCTTGCAGAATATGTGGTCACAGAGATACAGCCACTACCCAAACTGTGGCCAGCAGGGAGGGAGTAGGGGAATAGATAATCCCTCCTGGGTCTCCCACTTCTGGTCTCTGGCCAGGCTTCCCCATCAAAAGTACCCACCTGAAGCCAGGGATGTGGAAGCTGGGCAAAGCACTTTTTCTGTGGCCACAGGAGGAAGCTTCAATACACACAGCTCCTCGGGCCGCCTGGGTGGCTCAGCGGTTGAGCATCTGCCTTCAGCTTAGGTTGTGATCCTGGACTCCCAGTATCAAGTCCCACATTGGGCTCCCTGCATGGAGCCTGCTTCTCCCTCTGCCTATGTCTCTGCCTCTCTCTGTGTGTCTCTCATGAATAAATAAATAGAATCTTTTTAAAAAATACAAAGCTGCTCATAGGCAACAAATATACTGGATGCTGGGGACAGAATCTAGAAGTTACTCCAGCCCCTGAAGCCCCTTACCTGCCCAACTTTTAACTTCTTTACCACTGACCATTTCCCAATATATCATAAAACCTGCTTATTCATATTTATCTGGTTTATGTCCACTCCCTGGAGGCAGGGATCCTGGTGTTTTGTTCATGGCTAAATCTTCACGTCCTAGAGCACAGCCACAGTAGGTGCTCTATAAGTGTGTGTTTTTAAATTGTGGTAAAATGTATGTGCCATAAAATTACCATTTTAACTGTTTTGGGGCGTGTGATTCAGTGGCTTTAAGTATAAGAAACTATTCCCGTTAAAACACTTAACCCCCCATTCATAAAATATCTGTAATTTCATGACTGGCTTATTTCGATTAGCATAAAGTTTTCAAGGTTCATCCATGGGGTGGCATGTATCAATTTCATTTATTTTAGAATTGAAAAGTATTCCTTTGTAGGATATACCATATTTTGTTTACCATTCATCCATCAATGGACACTTGAGGGCAGCCCTGGTGGCGCAGCAGTTTAGCGCCGCCTGCAGCCCAGGGTGTGATCCTGGAGACCCTGGATCGAGTCCCACGTTGGGCTCCCTGCATGGAGCCTGCTTCTCCCTCTGCCTGTTTCTGTCTCTCTCTCTCTGTTTCTATGAATAAATAAATGAAATCTTTAAAAAAAATGGACACTTGAATTGCTTCCACTTCTTCATCACTGTGAATAATACTGCTGTGAACATGGGTGTGCAAATCTCTCTGAGTCCTGCTTTCTTTTGCATGTACACTTAGATGTGGAGTTGCTGGATTGTATGGTAATCCGCATTTAACTTTCGGAACCACTGAAGCGTAAACATATTTTGAATTCAGTAATCCAATGTCAGGGGCCCAGAAGGAGAGTAAGAACTTGTCCTCAAAATCCTTTTGTGTCTTTTCAATTTGGAACCATGTGAATGAATCACTACTTAAAAGAAGTAACTCTATAAAAAGGAAGAATGACAGTATAGGAATGTTTCTTGGCACCACTTGGAAACCACATAATTGTCCATCCATGGGAGAAGAGACAGATAAATTGTAGCCTATTAATGTGCAAATGTTGCATGGATAGAGCAGTGAAGCCAAGAGAAATAGAGTGCCCCCCACAACGTGGGTGAAATTTATGAACAGAAATATAGATGGCATATCTCCATTTATTTTTTTCAAGATTTTATTTATCTAATCATGAGAGACACACACACAGAGAGAGAGAGAGAGAGAGAGAGAGAGAGAGAGAGGCAGAGACACAGGCAGAGGGAGAAGCAAGCTCCATGCAGGGAGCCCGACGGGGGACTCTATTTTGGGTCTCCAGGATCATGCCCGGGCTGAAGGTGGCGCTAAACCACTGAGCCACCCAGGCTGCCCCATATCTCCATTTAAAAAAATAAAAAGAGGCACCTAGGTGACTCAGTCAGTTAAGCATATGACTTTTTTTTTTTTAAATCTTGGGGATAAAGGTCTTGATTCAACAAAGTTATCTCACTTGGTAAGCCTATGACTCTTGATTTTGGCTCAGGTCATGATCTCAGGGTCATGAGGTCGAGCCCCACTGCATCAAGCCTCGCAGCAGGCTGAATACTGGGTGTGGAGTCTGCTTGAAATTCTTTCTCTCCTTCTCACTCTGCCCCTCCCTGCCTCTCAAAAAAAGAAAGAAAAAAGACAAATTCACCCCTATTTTCTTGTAATGACCTACATTTTTTACCTTCATGCTTACGGAGAATTTCTAATAGCATGAGAAAATGCTAATAATAGCATTACTACATAAAAAACAGAACTGTGGGGATCCCTGGGTGGCGCAGCGGTTTGGCGCCTGCCTTTGGCCCGGGGCGCGATCCTGGAGACCCGGGATCGAATCCCACGTCAGGCTCCTGGTGCATGGAGCCTGCTTCTCCCTCTGTCTGTGTCTCTGCCTCTCTCTCTCTGTATGACTATCGTAAATAAATTTAAAAAAAAAAAAATTAAAAAAAAAAAAAAAAAAAAACAGAACTGTAGGGATCCCTGGGTGGCGCAGTGGTTTGGCGCCTGCCTTTGGCCCAGGGCGCGATCCTGGAGACCCGGGATCGAATCCCATATCGGGCTCCCGGTGCATGGAGCCTGCTTCTCCCTCTGCCTGTGTCTCTGCCTCTATCTCTCTCTCTGTGACTATCATAAATAAATAAATTAAAAAAAAACAGAACTGTATGGTCAGTATAATATCAAAATTACAAAAATTAAATTATATATACTAATATATATGTATATGGAATATATATGCAAGCAAGTTACAGAGTCCAGCATATGGATAGAATTTTCATAAAGGTCAAGGACAGGCTTTCTCCCTAGGTCTTTGCCTTGGCTGTTCCCTGCCTGGTATACGTTTCCCTGGATATCACTATGGCTCCACCCCAGCTCCCTCAGGTCAGAAAAGGGGTTGCAGACCCCCATTCCCACCCAATTTCAAATTTTAACTCCCTGCTTTGCTTTGTCCGTATCATGTCATCATCAGCCACACTGCATATTTTACTTATTTATCCTTCTTCTCTGCTATCTTCTCACCTAGAATATCCATGCCACAGGGGCAGAGAATTTTTTAAAAGAAAATTTTAAATTTTGTTTGTTTGTTCGTTCGTTTGTTTGTTTATACATGAGAGACATACAGAGAGAGGCAGAGACATAGGTAGAGGGAGAAGCAGGCTCCCTGCAAGGAGCCTGATGCGGGGACTTGATCCTAGGACCCCGGGATCACAACCTGAGCCAAAGGCCAATGCTCAACCACTGAGTCACCCAGGTGACTTTAAGTCCCAGACTTTAATTTTTTTTTAAGATATATTTATTAGAAAGAGAGAAAGAATGAGTGAGAGGGGCAGAGGCAGAGGGAGAGAGAATCTCAAGCTGACTCCCACTGAGGGAGGAGCCAGACCTGGGGCTCCATCCCATGACCCTGAGATCAGGACCTAAGTCAGATGCTTAACGGACTGTGCCACCAGGTATCACAATGGCAGGAAATTTTATTTGTTCTCCTCTCTGCGATGTTCCTTGAGATCTAGAGCAGGGCCAAATCCACCACAGATGCTTGAGAGATATGTGTTGTGTAAATGGAAAGCAGCCTTATCCACTGCTTAGGTGGCAGGAGTGGATGGCACCTCTGGACAGCAGCTGCTCCTTCCCAGGTTAAGAGCAGGGAGTGAAAGCATAGATTCTCCACTGTATTTATGCTGTTTTATTTTCCTGAGTGGATTTGTTTTTCTTTTTTAATCATGTTAAAATAAACATAGTGTAGGGACACCTGGGTAGCTCAGCGGTTGAGCATCTACCTTTGGCTCAGGGCATGATCCTGGGATTGAGTCCCACATTGGGTTCCCTGTGGGGAGCCTCTGCCTGTGTCTCTGCCTCTCTCTGTGTGTCTCTCATGAATAAATTAATAAATCTTTTAAAAATAAAAAAAATAAAATAAACATAGTGTAAAACTTCCATTTTAACCACTTTTAAGTGCATAGTTCAAGGGCACTAGGGACATTCACACTGTTGTGCAACCATCTCCACCATCCATCTCCAGAATTCCTTTTTCATCCCAAATTGAAACTCTGCCCCATTAACTTCTAATTCCCCGTCCCCCTTCCCCCAGCCTCTGGCACCCATCATCTACTTTTCTTCTCCATAAATCTGACTCCTCTAGGGACCTCATATAAATTGGAATAATCTACTTTCATATATGGCTTCTTGCACTTAACATAATGTTTTAAGGTTGGTTGTGGCATGTGTCAGAGCTTCATTCCTTGTTATGATTGAATATTCCATTTTATGGCTATACTACATTTTGTTATCCATTCACCTATTGATGGACACCTGGGTTGTTCCCACCTTTTGCCTAGCTGATTTTTTTTTAAATATTTTATTTATTTATTCATGAGAGACACAGAGAGAGAGAGAGGCAGAGAGACACAGGCAGAGGGAGAAGCAGGCTCCATGCAGGGAGCCTGATGTGGGACTTGATCCCGGGTCTCCAGGATCACGCCCTGGGCTGAAGGCGGTGCTAAACCCCTGAGCCACCGGGCTGCCCTCTAGCTGACTTTTTAATGTATTTCCAACCCCTTTTTGTGTGCCTGAAATATGTGCTAGTCAAATGATTCTGCAAAAGAGAACTAGATGCAGTGGAAAGGAAAGATCACCAAAAAATATCATTAAATGAAAAATAGGGACTCTTGGGTGGCTCAGTGGTTGAGCATCTGCCTTTGGCTCCCACCGTGATCCTGGGGTCCTGGGATTGAATTCTGAATCAGGCTCCCCGCAGGGAGCCTGCTTCTCCCTCTGCCTATTCTTTGCCTCTCTTTCTCTCTCTCTCTCTCATGAATAAATAAATAAATAAAATCTTTAAAAAAATAAAAAGAGGGATCCTTGGGTGGCTCAGCAGTTGAGTGTCTGTCTGCCTTTGACTCAGTGCATGATCCCAGAATCCTGGGATCGAGTCCCGCATCGGGTTCCCTGCATGGAGCCTGCTCTCTGCCTGTGTCTCTGCCTCTCAATCTCTCTCTCTCTCTCTCTCTCTCTCTCTCTCTCTGTGCGTTTCTCATGAATAAATGAATAAAATCTTTTAAAAAAATAAAAAGAAAAAAATAAAAAGAAATAAAAAAGATAATAGCACTCATTCAGCACCTGGTTCCAAGTTCTTACATGTCTTAGCTCATTTGAGGTTCCTGATACATCTCGAGCTTGGGACTCCAATTAGCCACATTCTCCAGAGGAAGAAACTGAGCATGGGCAAGTTAAGCATTTGCCCAGTATCACACGGTGGCAGAGCCAGGATTTGAATCTTTACCTTCTCGTTCCTGCCTTCATGTAACTCCTCTATTTCCTCCTGAGACCAGCATAGAGTATCCAGTTTGAGGCTGCTCTTGGGAATTTCCTGGAAGCATGTATTTACATGTGCTCAACAGTGTATTGCCCTTTCTTGGAAAGATTCCCAGAAAACTGACCAAACTCATGGCTGTTTGGAGGAAGGGGCTGACTGTTCCATGAACTTTCCAATTTAAAAGAGCACAAAGGGATTTTGTTTTTAATTTACCCACCCTTGGCTTTTGCCTGGTCTGGTGGGAGTTCTAGGAGGCCCCTCCCTGCAGGGTTAGGGGAACCCCCCAATTTCAGCTTCCTCCTGAAAACCAACTAGGGACGGATGGCCAATTGTCCCAGTTTGCTCAGGACTGTCCCAATTGTAACCCTGAAAGTCCCCTCTGGGAATCTCCCTCAATCTTGGGCAAACCCGACGACCACGCACGACGACCACGCACGATGCTCAATGCTCGACAAGACGCTGGACAGTCGGTGGGGTGAGCTGGAGCCTCCCTGCTGGTCCCAAATGGTCTGTGATGGAGGAGTTTGCAAAGGAGGACTTGTGCCCTGGAGGCAGGACATTAGCCTCACCAGCAGCCTCTCTGGTCTCTTTTTTCTTTAGCTGTCAGGTGGGGGTGTTGGTCTCACTTTAAAAGAACCTGAAAGGGGCGCCTGGGTGACTCCATTGGTTAAGAGTCTGCCTTCGGCTCAGGTCATGATCTCAGGGTCCTGGAACTGAGCCCCATGTTGGGCTCTCTGCTCAGCAAGGAGTCTGCTTCTCCCTCTCCTTCTGCCTCTGCCCGCCCCCTTCACTCATTCACTCTCTCTTTCTCTCAAGTAAGTTAATAAATAAATAAAACTTAAAAAAAAAAGAAAAAAAGAAAAAGAACCTGAGAGAGCTCAGTGAATTCTAAGCACCCAATCCTGGGCCTGGCATCTAGTCTGGGACACTCTGAGTTATTATTATATTCTCATTACGGAGGTTATTACCATCATTAATATTATTAGTCATGATAGTCACTTGCCATTTCCTGTCCCCGCACCCCCTGCCCCTGGGATTCTGGACACCCAGTCCCAGGCTCACCTCATGCTCTGTGGTCCAGCCTCCAGATCCAGTGGAGGCTGCCCCATCTCACCCAGCTGGCTGTTGAAGAATCTGGCACCTTTGGTTTCCTGCGGCTATGCCTCTGGGGGCGGAGAGGAAGCCAAGGCCGGAAGGCCGTGGTCAACCCTTCTGCAGCAAGGACAGCAGCTAAGGCCCATAAGTCTCCTCAGGCCATGCACCCACCAGCTGCTGCTGCTTCTTCTTCTTCTTCTTCTTCTTCTTCTTCTTCTTCTTCTTCTTCTTCTTCAGATTTTTATTAATTTATTTATTCGTGAGAGACACAGAGAGGCAGAGACATAGGCAGAGGAAGAAGCAGGCTCCCCACAGGGACCCCAGTATGGGACCCAATCCTGGGACTCCAGGATCACGCCCTGAGCTGAAGGCAGACGCTTAATTACTGAGCCACCCAGATGTCCCCCCACCAGCTTCTTAGGCAGCTAGTGGGTGCCAGGTATAATTCCAGGTGTTGGGGATACAGTGGAGAACCACACAGACATTCTAGAGTGGAAGAGAGGCGTTAAACTCAGTGCTCAAAGAAACTTCCAAGGAAATAGTCAGGTTGTCATAAAGACTGCAAAGAAAAACAGAGCAGGCAAAGAGAGAAAAAGACGGGTTTGCTGATTTAGATCTAGGTACTTCTGGGGAGTGATGAGGGTTTATATCTTGGCCTGAGTAGTTTATTGCGGTTGTTCTTCAAAACTGGGCCCACAGGAGAAGCCCACGAAAGCTTTCTTTAAAGCATGGTAAAGGAAAACTTTCCCTACCTACAACACTTCTGATATCCAATATGTGAGTTTTCCACATGGAACAACTCTGGTTTTCTGTGGACACCAACTGGGAGGAATGTGATCAGATATCAAAGGTGGGGTGATATAAGGATGACAAAGGATTCTTTACTCAGATGGATGAGCAGGCTAAAAATAGGCTCAGGCCAAGGTTGAGTGCTAGTCAAGTAGGCTCAGACTACTTTAGTCAAGGAGAGAGTCTGTCACCTCTCTGCCTCAGTTTCTTGCTCTGAAAACTGGGGACAATATAAGCCTCCAGAGGACTGCTGCCAGGATCAAATGAGATAATGCATGAAAACATTCAGTGCGTAGCCTTCTCAGTAAATGACAGCGACTTGCTGTATGTTGATTAGAACTCAGGGGATCCCTGGGTGGCGCAGTGGTTTGGCGCCTGCCTTTGGCCCAGGGCGTGATCCTGGAGACCCGGGATCGAATCCCACATCGGGCTCCCGGTGCATGGAGCCTGCTTCTCCCTCTGTCTGTGTCTCTGCCTCTCTCTCTCTCTCTCTTTGTGTGATTATCATTAAAAAAAAAAAAAAAAAAGAACTCAGGTCAGGTGAGATGTCCAAGCTGCTACTTTGCTGGCCTCAGAGGACTGGGCTGGAGGTGATCAGGAAAAGGATCTGAGCAGTTGGGCCGCAAATGCCTCCCCAGTGTCGGGGGGCTTCATGGGTGGGGGTGTCTTCATCCGGCCACATGGAGCTGGCCAGGCAAAGACCAGGGAAGCTGGGCAGGTCGGAATGGAGTCACATGGCTTGGGGGTTGGAAGACTGAAGGGCGGCTGGTTGCAGCCTTGATCGCCGGAGTGAGGACAAGAAGTCTGCACCAGGGCCGAAAGCCTCACTTGGGCGGGGCGCCAGCGTAAAGAATCGAGGCCGCCGCGCCGTTGCTAGGCCGCACTCTTGAACCTTAAGGACGAACCCCGCATCCCCGCCCACTGCCGCCAGCAGCCAATCGCTGACGCTGCGGCGCATCCGGGCTCCGACCCAGCCAATCGCGGTTGAGCACAGGAAAAATGAAGCTGAGAACCAATAGGAGCGCCGCTATTGTAACGAAAGGCCCAATGGTTTCGGGCGACAGGGCTTCTTCAGGCGGCCAATGGGAGGCGGCGTCACGGCGGCGATTTGGCGGTGGCTGCCGGCGACTGCGGGGCGGGGTCCCAGGTTCGAGCCAGAGGCCCGGGGGGAAAAGGGTGAGCCTGGAACCCCCAGGAAGTCCCCTGGAGGGAAGCGGCCGGCGGGAGGTGCGCTTGGCAGGGGTGGATAGGAACACCCGCTGCCTCGTGACTGGTCGATGCCTGGTGGGTGCGCATCGCGGTTGCCGCTCCTGCCCCCCTGCCAGCGAGGTTTCGAGTGTTTTGGGGGGGGGTGTTTTGGGTGGGGTTGGTGCTGGCCTCCTGGGTGCAGACGTCGCTCCTACTGCAACTGCAAAGCTGGCTCTGCACCCAGCGGAGAAGGAAGGAGGAAATGGGCACACACACCCCCCAATCCCATCCCCACAGTATTTTCTCAAATGCTAACATATAAAAATAGCGAAAACCTAACAAAGTAGCTACTGCACGCCAGACCCCGAGCTGAGCGCTTTCCCTGCCTCGTCTCATTGAATCCTCCCAACACCCCTTTGAGGGAGAGACTGCTTGCTATACGCCTACTTTCCAGACGAGGAAACACTCAGAGGGGAGCTGATTCCTGAGGAATCTGACCTTGTGCATGACATTATCTTCTTCCCATCACTGTTTATCTTAAAACTGGAGATCATGGAGGCCTGAGCCCTGGGCCTGGCTCTGGAAAAGTCCCACAGCTGGATTGAGGGGAGAGTGGAAACACAACCCCTCCTAGGCGCGGGTGAGTCAGCAGGGCCTGGGGTCACTCGTTGGGGAAGATGTGGGAGGCAGGAATCTTGCCCTGCAAGAGAAAGACCATCAGGACAATGGAATCGATAGTGATGATTTTATTTTTGTTTTTGTCATATTTGTTATTTTTTTCATGCCTGCATTAAGGGCTGTGCTGTGGGGATGTGACAGCCTTCTTTGCATGACAATGCTCTCAGCATCTTCATTTTCCAACCGGGAAACTGAGGCCCAGTGTGGCTAAGTGACTTGCCTGAGTTGACACGGGGAGAGCCAGGATTCGTCCCCTGGTCTGTCTGACCACAGGTGCCTGCCTGGTGATTTGGGGAAGGTGGGTTCAAAGCAGGTTTTACTATTGGTGCAGCTTTGTCGAGTAAAGGGGTTCAGTGTCATTCATGACAGATCTAACAGGTGTGGATTGTATCCTATCTACATCAAACATGTAGAAACAGGCTCAGGGAAGGGAATTGGGTGCCTAAGGTCACACAGTGAGGAGGTTCTAGAATCTTCCCCTCAGGCCTAACACCTGGGGGCTGATGGCCTATCTTTTCCCAGCCAAGCCAGCTGTCAAAAGCATGCCTCTGTGCCATTCGGGTGCCACCACCAGGGACAGCAGGCCTGATGGCGATGAAGCTCAGCCCCTGGCCACCAGGGGAGGCCTGAAGGTCCTTCTGCACTGGGCTGGCCCTGGTGGCGGGGACCCATGGGTCACCTTCAGCGAGGCCACACTGACCGCAGAGGATGTCTGCATCCACATTGCACACAAAGTCGGTGAGTCTGGGGCATCAGCCCCGTGGCAGGGGTGGAGGTGCTGACAGCAGCTGGGCCTGCCCATCTATCTGTCCGTCTGTCCGCCTGTTCATTCAGCAGACATCGAGTGAACAACTACAGTGCGCCAGTCCCAAATTGCTGCCTTTGTAGAGCTTATATTCCAGTAGGAAAATCAGCAAGAAACACAATAAATAAGAAAACTGTGGCAGGGGCACCTGGGTGGGTCAGTCAGTTGGGTGTCTGCCTTCGGCTCAGGTCATGATCCAGGGGTCTTGGGATCAAGCCCCACATCAGGCTCCCTGCTCAGTGGGAAATCTGCTTCTCCCTCTGCCCCCAACTTGTGCTCACTCACTTGCTCTCTCTTAAATAAATAAATAAAATCTTTAAGAAGAAGAAGAAGAAAACTCTGTGGGAGAGCAGAGGTAGATGATGGAGAAAAATTAAAAATTCAGGAGAGAGGGACGCCTGGGTGGCTCAGTGGTTGAGCATCTGCCTTCGGCTCAGGTCATGATCAGATTCCTGGGATTGAGTCCCACATCAGGCTCCCTGCATGGAGCCTGCTTCACCCTCTGCCTGTGTCTCTGCCTCTCTATCTCTGTGTCTCTCATGAACAAATAAAATCTTAAAAAAGAAGAAGAAAACTATGTGGGAGAGCAGAGATAATGATGGAGAAAAATTAAGCATTCAGGAGAGGGGCACCTGGCTGGCTCAGTTGGTAGGGCATGTGACTCGATCTCAGGGTCATGAGTTCAAGCCCCATGTTGGATGTAGAGATTGCTTAAAAAAGAACTCAGGAGATAAGGGGGAGAGCCACATGGATATCTGGGGGGAGATGGTACCCAGAAGAGGGAACAGCAGGTGCAAAGCCCTAAGAGGGGGAAGTTGCCCAGGCACAGCAAGGAGGCCCAGGTGGCTGGAGCAGAGTGAGTGAAGGGGAGAAAGCAGTAAGTGAGAGCAGGGAGGCGATGGGGCAGGTTGAGCAGGACCTCGGGGAGGACTTGGGATTTTACTCCCCAGTCAGGTGGGAGCCACAGAGAACTGTGAGCAAAGGATGAATGTGACTGGACTCAGGTATCACTGATGCTGTCTTGTTGCTGTGCGGGGAAGAGACTGTGGTGGGTGAGGGTGGGAGCAGGAGACCCGGGTGGCAGTGACCTCCAGGTAGGAGTTACAGGGAAGGTCAGCCAGGGCCAGATCTTACGGTGCCTTCAATGCCAAAGAGGAGTTTATGCTTTCTCCTGAGACCAGTAAGAACTATGGAATCGCTGAGAGAGGCTGTAGTAGAGGTACCAAAAGTATAGTTTCTTCTTCCAGAGGAGGAGAAGGTGTATCCGACTGGATATTGCTTATATGCCCCTTCCCCCAGGAAATCCTCTCAGGCCGCCTTCCCCACAACTGGATGGAGGCCTCATGGTGGATTGCTACCACACCTTGTACTTTCCCATTGGTAGCTGATTCTTCAAGAGCTCAGACAGGTGTCCAGCAGAAGGAGCAGTGTGTGCAAAGGTCCCAGACAGCCTAATCTGTTTGAGGAAGCAAAAGACTTGAAAACTAACTGGAGTGTCGGTTTCGTCGGTTTCAAGAATTTGAAAAGGGAAGTAGCAATTGAAAGTGGAGCATAATTGCCAGAGTCCCAAGGCATAGTTACACTTTTTTTTTTGTTTTGTTCTTTTTTTTTTTTTTTTTTTTTAAATTTTTATTTATTTATTTATGATAGTCACAGAGAGAGAGAGAGAGGCAGAGACACAGGCAGAGGGAGAAGCAGGCTCCATGCACCGGGAGCCCGACGTGGGATTCGATCCCGGGTCCCCAGGATCGCGCCCTGGGCCAAAGGCAGGCGCCAAACCGCTGCGCCACCCAGGGATCCCTTGTTTTGTTCTTTTAAAGATGTATTTATTTTACTGAAGGGGGAGGGGCAGGGGGAGAGAGGATCCCAAGCAAGACGCCCCACTGAGCACGAAGTCTGACATGGGGCTGCATCTCAGGACCCTGAGATTGTGACCTGAGCCTAAATCAAGAGTCACATGTTTAAAGGACTGAGCCACCCAGGCGCCCCCAGGTCATAGTTATTGTGTGCTGAGGGGGTTGGGCTTTCTCATGGGGCCGTAGGGAACCGTGGAATGTTTAAGCCAGAGTGAAACAGGTAGATTGGTCCTTTAGGAAGTTGTCTCTCAAGGAGGCATTCTCCTTCTCTGGGAGGCAGTACACTTGGACACAGCAACTTTGGAAAGTGATGGGCATCATCCAATAGAGTTGAAACATACATTCCCTGAGGCCACACAGTTCATAGTTCCAGACCTAGATATGCACTGGACACTCAGCTCATGTGTTCTAGGAGACACCATCAAGAATGTTCAGAGCTGCTTCATGTATCTTAGTTTTTGTTTGTTTTTAAAATATTTTAATTTGGGGCAGCCCCGGTGGTGCAGCGGTTTAGCGCCGCCTGCAGCCCAGGGCGTGATCCTGGAGACCCTGGATGGAGTCCCATGTCGGGCTCCCTGCATGGAGCCTGCTTCTGCCTCTGCCTGTGTCTCTGCCACTCTCTCTGTCTCTATGAATAAATAAATAAAATCTTTAAAAAAATAAATAAAAGATTTTAATTTATTTGAGAGAGAGAGAGAGGAAAACAAGTAAGGAATGGGTAGAGGGGGAGAGAGAGAGAGAGAGAGAGAGAGAGAAGCAGACTCCCTGCTGAGCAGGAAGCTCGATGATGATGTGGGGCTCAATCCCAGAACCTGGAGATCATGACCTGAACCAAAAGCAGACGCTCAACCTACTGAGTCGCCCAGTTGCCCCTGCTTCATTTATCTTAGTGAAAAACGGGAGACCATCTCAAAGTACTCTCTACAGGAGAATGCACAAATTACAGTAAGGTTGAATGCTGGAAAGCTATACAGTCAGGAAAAAAGGAATTTCACTGAAGTTACCCATATCATATGAAGCTTTGTGTTTTTTAATTTTAACTTTTTTTTTAAGATTTTTTTTAGGGATCCCTGGGTGGCGCAGCGGTTTGGCGCCTACCTTTGGCCCAGGGCGCGATCCTGGAGACCCGGGATCGAATCCCACGTCGGGCTCCCGGTGCGTGGAGCCTGCTTCTCCCTCTGCCTGTGTCTCTGCCTCTCTCCCTCTCACTGTGTGCCTATCGTAAATAAATAAAAATTCAAAAAAAATATTAAAAAAAAAAGATTTTTTAAAAAAATTTTTTTAATTTTTATTTATTTATGATAGTCACATAGAATGAGAGAGAGAGAGGCAGAGACACAGGCAGAGGGAGAAGCAGGCTCCATGCACCGGGAGCCCGACGTGGGACTCGATCCCGGGTCTCCAGGATCATGCCCTGGGCCAAAGGCAAGCACTAAACCGCTGCGCCATCCAGGGATCCCCTTAAGATTTTTTTTTTTTAAGATTTTATATATTTAGGGGATCCCTGGGTGGCTCAGTGGTTCAGTGCCTGCCTTGGCCCAGGGCGTGATCCTGGAGTCCCAGGATGGAATCCCACGTCAGGCTCCCTGCATGGAGCCTGCTTCTCCCCTTGCCTGTGTCTCTGCCTCTCTCTCTCTCATGAATAAGTAAATAAAATCTTTTAAAAAAATATTTTATATATTTATTCATGAGAGACACACATATATAAATTTATATATTTATTTATTTATTCATGGTAGGCTCCATGCAGGGAGCTGAGCTGAGGCAGGCAGGTGCTGAGCCACCCAGGCGTCCCAATTTTAACTTTTTTTTTTTTTTTTACAGTAATCTCTACTTTTGGGGATCCCTGGGTGGCTCAGCAGCTTGGTGCCTGCCTTTGGCCCAGGGCGTGATCCTGGGGTCCTGGGATCAAGTCCCGCATCAGGCTCCCTACATGGAGCCTGCTTCTCCCCCTGCCTGTGTCTCTGGCTCTCTCTGTCTCTCATGAATAAATAAAATCTTTAAAAAATAATAAAGTAATCTCTACTTTAATAAATTTTAAAAATTTTTTTATTTATTTATGATAGTCACACACACACAGAGAGAGAGAGAGAGGCAGAGACACAAGCAGAAGGAGAAGCAGGCTCCATGCACCGGGAGCCCGACGTGGGATTCGATCCCCGGGTCTCCAGGATCGCACCCTGGGCCAAAGACAGGCGCTAAACCGCTGCGCCACCCAGGGATCCCAGTAATCTCTACTTTAAACATGGGGCTTGAACTCACAACCCTAAGATCAAGAGTCACATGCTCTACCAACTGAGCCAGCCAGGTATCCCTCATGTGTGAAGTTTTAAAACCTGTTGTAACATGAAAAGAGAAACTGTAGAAGGACACTTATTGTGTAATACTGCATTTAGAGTTCATAACATTGAAACTAGAGGATATGGGAATAAAGTCTCATTCAGGAGTATGGTTACCTCTTTGTGGGAAGGAAGAGGAGGAGGATGTCAGCAAGGTCAAGTTTGTACTTTGGTGATGATAAATTATTCTTTTTTTAAAAAAAAGATTTTATTTATTAATTTATTCATGAATGACACAGAAAGAGGCAGAGATCTAGGCAGAGGGAGAAGCAGTCTCCCTGTGGGACTTGATCCCAGAACCCCGGGATCACAACCTGAGCCAAAGGCAGATGCTCAACCACTGAGCTACTCAGGTGCCCCAATGATAAATTATTCTGAATGAACTATCTTAGACAAAATATTCAAGTGATATGCATAAAAAGGATGCCTTGGGTAGCCGGTATAGGGAATGACAGCAAATCTGGAGGCTGGATTAGGACTGGGCTTTGGATCTGAAGGATCCCAGAGATGGAGGATGCAGGAAGAGCAGGCCTAGTGACTGAATTGATGGGGTTTTGGGTGAAGTTGAGGACAAGAACCAAGTCATAGCTTAAAGAACCAAGCAGGCAAGTGGCAGGTTTGGGAACATGGGATGAGGTCTCTTTGGAACAAGGCACGTCTAAGGGGGCTGTGATGTTCAGAGGGAGACAGCCAGGAGGGCTGGATATTCCTCCAGGATTGGAGTTCAGGGAGAGACTAGGCACCTGCCAGCAGTCTGTAGACTTGGGTTGGTTGGTCTAAGGTAGGTTCTTGCTGCAGTAACAAGCAGCCTCCCAAATTTTCTTGGGTCGAGACAATGAAGGCTTACCTAAAATCTAATGCAGGTCAGATGATTCACCTCTGTCTTGTGGCTTTGGCACAAGGCATCTCCAACATCCGGGAGGCAGAGGAGATTGCAAGAGAGTTTATTTCCAGGCCCAGAAATCTGCATACCCCTTTTGCCAACATCCCATTGACCAGAAACCAGTCTATGGCTCCCTCCCAGCTGCAAAGGAAGGGAGGACCTGGGAGGGGAAACAGCAGGTCTGGGGGTCGACAAGGCAGATGGCAGCAGATGCAGCCTCCTGACCTTTCTCCCCTGTTCCAGGCATCACTCCGTCCTGCTTCAATCTCTTTGCTCTCTTCGATGCCGAGGCCCAGGTCTGGCTGCCTCCAAACCACGTCTTGGAGGTCTCCGGAGACATGAATCTGACCTTGTACTTCCGCATGAGGTGGGTGATGGCCCCTTGGAAGCCTTGTCCGTTTTTTTTTTTTTTTTTTTTTTTTAAGATTTTATTTATTTATTCATGAGAGAGGCAGAGACACAGGCAGAGGGAGAAGCAGGCTCCATGCAAGGAGCCCGTCGCGGGACTCGATCCCGGGACTTCAGGATCACACCCTGGGCCGAAGGCAGGCGCCAAACCACTGAGCCACCCAGGGATCCCCGCCTTGTCCACTTTTATTCTGTCCCCTTGCTCCCCTGCACCCCACCTTCCTGGAGCTGGTCTGAGTCCATGCTAAGCCCCAGCTGCGACCTCTGCCTCCCCTCTTGTAGGTTTTATTTCCGGAACTGGCATGGCACAAATTCTCAGGAGCCGGCTGTGTACCGCTGTGGGCCCACAGGGACCAAGTCCTCCTCAGAACAAGCAGAGCAGGGGGTGCAGCTACTGGACCCAGCCTCCTTTGAATACCTCTTTGAGCAGGTGTGTGTAGGGCGGGGGAAGCGGGACAATTTGTAAGGGACTTAGTTGAGGAGCCCCACACCTCTCCCCAGTTCACTAAGGTAAGCAGATTTCAACTCATGCCATCTCTGATCCTTTGGCTGCCTGAACCAGAGGGTTCTGAGACACAGGACTGTGGGGGAGAGTGCTATGATCAATTAGTGATGTCTGCCACAGGCTGAGGGTTGGACATAGGAGGCACATGTGAAAATGGGGGTTCCCTCTCCTCCCCCAAGAGGACAGAAGCTGGGGAGTGAACAGGTTCTTATGCCGCCCTTTCTGCCTGATTCCCCCCTCCCCAGGGCAAGCATGAGTTTGTGAATGACGTGGCGTCACTGTGGGATCTGTCGAGCGAGGAGGAGATCCACCATTTTAAGAACGAGAGTCTGGGCATGGCCTTTCTGCACCTCTGCCACCTTGCTCTCTCCCATGGCATCCCCCTGGAGAAGGTGGCCAAGAAGATCAGGTGTCTGGGGATGGGGCGGGGACAGGTACCTGGGAGCTACGGGAGGCCTCCCCTACTGCCATATCTTCCTTCAGCACTTAGCCAGTACCTGCTGTATGCTGGCGTTGAGGCCACACGGTGAACAAGCCAGACAAAATCACAGCCCATCTGAAGCTCACATCTGGTGAAGGAGACAGGCATTAAACAGAATACAAAAGTGAAAGGTTCAGTGTTTCTGACGGTGATAAATGCGAAGGGGGAGCATTAAACAGGAAAGGAGGAAGGAGCGTGTCAGAGAGTGAGGGGTGTACAGTTTAAAACGGGGCAGTCTGGGGTTTCCTCACTGAGATAGCATTCAAAGGTGTGAAGGAAATGAAGGTGGGAGGCTTGTGAGTGTCTGGGAGAAGAGCATTCCAGACATAGGGGACAGCCAGTGCAAAGGCCCTGAGGCCTGATGTGTGGAAGAATATGTGGCTAGAGCAGAGTGAACTTGGAAAATTCCACAGGATTCTAGGGAGGGAAGGACGCAGGAGTATGGGGAGCTGGGAGCCAGCTGTGTGCACCGCCATTGCTGTGAGGGCATGGCAATCAGGGTACACTGCCTGGAGGAGGCAGTGGGAGAAACGGATCTTTGAGGACCAGCAGTTCTCCTTAAAGCACGTATCTTTCCATCCCTGATGTGTTATACTCTGAAAGACTCAGGCTGGGACAGTCAAGTCCAGGGTGCTGGTACCCTCTCTAGCCTGGATGTCAGAGAATGCTTCCTGGGGAGGTGACATTTCTGCTAAGACCTGAAAGTTGAGTCAACTTTATCCAGATGGAGACTATGTTTTTTGGGGGACCTGAATTTGGAATACCAGGGCCGGAGAGCCAGAGTCCACCAGGCTCTAGTCAGGGGGCTGTAGGGAGCCCAAGGAAAATTGGAAGTGGGGGCAAGAGGCAGGTAAAACCTTGAGCTTTAGGATCCCTCTGGTCAAGGGGTAGGAGAGAGGGCTTGGGACTAGGAGAAATCTGTTCTCTGAGTGAGATATCCTGGCGGTCAGATGCCAGACAGGCAGAGAGAGAAGGGGTGAGGGCTGGGGCTTTGTGAGCGGCAGAGGGGCCTTTTGTTGATAATCCTAACACTGGTGATAAAAGCAACAGTGACTTCTCCAGCAATAACAGCCCCCAACGGTCACGTAGTCCTGCCAGTCGGCAGCCCTGATTATCTCAGCCCTGGAGGTGCGCCCTCTCTGATCCCACCTTGCAGGTGAGCAGACAGGGCCCTTTAGAACCTCAGGAAGTTGTCCCACAGCTGGAATTTTAGCCACCCTGTCTCCTCCGGATTTCTGACCCCACCCAGCCTCCCTATGCCAGACCTTTATCGTGTTCTCTTTCCACCTGCCTGGCAGCCTGCCTGTTTGCTAGACGAGGCAGCTGGGGTTCGGAGAGGTTAAGCCACTTGCCCAGTGTCACCCAGCTGGGCCTGCAACCCGGGCTCCTGACCAGCCCTTCCTGGTTGCCCCCCAGCTTCAAGGACTGCATTCCACGCTCCTTCCGGCTGCAGATCCGGCGGCACAACGCGTTGACCCGGCTGCGTCTGCGGAGCATCTTCCGCAGGTTCGTGCGGGCCTTCCAGCCGGGCCACATCTCTCAGCAGGTCATCATGGTCAAATACCTGGCCACACTCGAGCAGCTGGCGCCCCGCTTCGGCACGGAGCGCGTGCCCGTGTGCCACCTGGAGCTCCTGGCCCAGGCCATGGGGGAGTCCTGCTACATCCGGGACAGTGGGCAGGCCCCTCCAGAGCCTGAGCTGGCCACCGGACCCCCCACTCATGAGGTGCTGGTGACAGGCACTGGTGGCATCCAGTGGCGGCCAGTACAGGCAGAGGTGAGCAGGGTGCACCTGGGCATCCAGGTCGGGCTGGGGCTCCTGCTCCGCCTCCGCCTTGGCCTCCGAGGGTGGCTGCCGTGCACCCTTCCCCTGCATGGCTCTGGGGTGTGTCTGTCTGTCCCCTGGGGTGGTTTTCTGGGGAGTGCCCTGCGGCTCTGTCTACCCCCTGGGGACCTCATTTCTGGGGTCTGTACCTGTGAGGATCCCCTGTCTGGTATCGAGGTATGAGGGTCCGTATTGAGGTGTGGGAGTCTGGCTCTTCCTCTCTTTCTCCCTGAGGTTCTGGCTTCCGGCATGTGTATCCCTTGGGGGAGGGTCTCCATCCCATCTATGATACTGGCACTCAAAGGAGGGTGCCTGAGGGGTATCCCTGGCCTCTCCGGCTCCCGCCTCTCCCCGCAGAGAGAATGTGTAGGAGACTAAACAGGAAGAACCTTGGGATGCCTGGGTGGCTCAGCAGTTGAGCATCTGCCTTCAGCCCAGGGCGTGATCCCGGGGTCCTGGGATCCAGTCCCACCTCAGGTTCCACGCAGGGAGCCTGCTTCTCCCTCTGCCTGTGTCTCTGCCTCTTTCTCTGTGTCTCTCATAAATAAATAGATACAATCTTTAAAAATAAAAAAATAATAAAATAAAAAGATTTTATCTATTTATGAGAGCGAGAGAGAGGGGCAGAGACACGGGCAGAGGGAGAAGCAGGCTCCCTGCGGGGAGCCCGACATGGGACTCGATCTCTGATCCTGGGATCACGCCCTGAGCCGAAGGCAGACGCTCAACTGCTGAGCCACCCAGGCATCCCAATAAAATCTTTAAAAGAAAATAAAAATAAATAGGCATAACCCTGCTTCATCCACCTGCCCTATGTGCTGGGTTTCCAGAGTCCCAGAAGCAACGGCAGCAGCAAGAATCGCCATGCTGACCCATTTGGGAAGAAAACCAAGGCCGGAGAGGTGGGTGACCAGCCAGTGGACAGGCCTCAGGAAGAGCCATGGGTCTACTTCTGTGACTTCCAGGATATCACCCACGTGGTGCTCAAGGAACGCCACATCAGCATCCACTGTCAGGACAACAAGAGCCTGGTGGGGCCTGGGGCTGGGGGCCTGGCAGGGGCTGGGGGCACCTGTAGCCTGCGATGCCTGTCTGATATCCCCCCGGCCTGCAGGAGCTGACCCTGCCTTCCCGGGCCATGGCCCTGTCCTGGGTGTCGCTGGTGGACGGCTACTTCCGCCTGACAGCTGACTCAAGCCACTACCTGTGCCATGAGGTGGCCCCTCCACGACTAGTGATGAGCATCCAGGATGGTATCCATGGACCCTTGATGTGAGTGCTGGGAAAGGCACACAGGTGACATGGGGAGAGGGGGTGGCTGCCAGCTAGACTGTGAGCTCTAGGGATGGTGAGGCTGGAGAGAGGTGTGTGCGTGTGTTTGTGTGTATTCATATCTTTGTGTGCATTCACGGTGTGTGTGTTCACCTGTGTGTGAGAGTATACACATGTGTGCAAGCATTCATGCCTGCATGTGTGCTCATGAGTGCATGCCTGCATGCATGAGTGTAGCCGTGTGTGCCTATGTGAGCACATGTGTGTACAAGCATGTGTGGCTGGGGTGTACATGTGTTTACACACACGGATGTGAGTATTCACTCACACTCTGCATGTGTGCATTTATGTCAGTGTGTGCTCGTGTGGGAGTGCATGCACTTGTGTGTGTGCGTGTGTTCACCTGTGTGTGTGCATGTGTGGGAATGCATGTACTTGCATGTACATGCATGCAGACGTGCACCCCAGGGGCTGTAGGGGGAGAGAGGGTGTCTGCGGTGGTGTGGGCCCATGTCATGATGGTACCTGGGTTTGGGATGGTCACCGTGCATGTCTGCATGTTTACCAGCCCCATGGCGTGTGACTGTGTATTGTGATTGCGTTTACAACTGCCCTTGTCTGTGTTTGCTGCTATGGGATGGGTAATTTTTGTGGTGCCATATGTCACACAAAGGCTGGTGGCCATTCACACGTACACCTGTTTGCACTCCTGCAGGTATGTGTCTGTCCTGGTCACTATAGGTCTGTGCAATTCCGTGCAGACACATGGAGCTAAGAATGCGCAGTGTCACGGCTTCTGGGGTCCCCAGATGTGTGTGTGGCCAGCCTGCATTCTGCAGGGTCAGGACATGTGACTTAGCTTGTGTGGCCATTATTCCTGTGCCTGGCTGTCCCCTGTCCTACCTGTGACACCGGGACTGGGCATTGAGGTCTGGCCTGTCTCCACGCTAGAGGAGGGTACAGTGGCCATTCCTCCTCTCGGGAGCTGTGGTGGTGCCACGTCACAGCTAGGTGGGGGCCACCCGGGCAGGGGTCTGCAGGCCCCATCCACCCGTGTCCTGATGTGTCCGGACGCCCATCACCATTGGCTGGTGATGTAGAAACAGCGGACAGTGAATTCTCCTCATTCTGGAGGCTGGAAGTCTAAGTTCAAGGGGCAGACAGGTCCAGGGTTTGGTTGAGAGCCCCACCTCCGGGTCTGCAGACGGCCGGCTCCCGGCTGGTGCTCACACGGGGAGGAGCGAGCGAGCTCTCCGCAGTCCTTTATATAAGGGCACTGATCCTATTCACGGGGCTTCCACCCTCTTGACTCAGTCGCTTCCTCGTTCCAGCACGTTGGCCATTAGGTTTCGGCATAGGAACTCTGGGGAGACCCAGACGTTTGGCCGATGGCTGCACATGACCCCCCACGTGTAGGTGTCTGGGCCTGGGTGGCTGTATCACGTGCAGTGCCTGTCTGTGCCCATGATGGTTGTCACCTAGGGCCTGGGACATCGCTCCCCCTCTGCCGCCGCGTTACACTGGGTGAGCGGCCGTGTCTGTGATTGTTGTCCAGTAGCTGTGTGTCAGAGCAGCTGGCCAGGTGTGCTCCCGTCCCGTATCTGATGGCCGTTTCCTGTCCCCGTGTGCACGTTACGTTACCTTGTTGGTGGCGCTGCCTGACCGTTGTCACCTGCGAGCGTGTGCCTCTTCCCTCCTCTGCATTTTTCTGTGCACGATGGTGTTACACTGGTGTGTGTGTGTGTATGTTCACACCCAGTGTCACCACGTAAATGCCTGGGTCTGACACATGTCGCAGCTAGGAGTGCTCCCCTACGGGCAGGTTTTGTGTGTCCTTCCTGGTTGCCAGGCATGGGTCCGGTGGGACCCCCAGCTTCCCCGACAGCGCCCCCTTGTCCCCTACAGGGAGCCCTTTGTGCTGGCCAAGCTGAGGTCTGAGGATGGCCTCTACCTCATCCACTGGAGCACCAGCCACCTCAACCGCCTCATCCTGACGGTGGCCCAGCGGGACCAGGTGGGCCTGGGGTGGGGGTCCTGGGCTGGGGCTGGCCGTGCTCCCTGCCTGGACCCCTGCTCACCGCCCCCCTGCTCTGCCACCCCCCAGAGCCCGGGCACACAGCGCTTGCACCTGCGTAAATTCCCCATTGAGCTGCAGGCCGGGGTCTTCAGGCTGGAGGGCTGGGACCGGTCCTTCCCCAGCGTGCGGGAGCTGCGAGCCGCCCTGCAGGGCTGCTCCCTGCGCGCCGGCGATGACTGCTTCTCCCTGCGCCGCTGCTGCCTGCCTCGGCCGGGAGGTAGGCCACAGGGGCCGAGGCTGGGGGTGGCACCTCCCCCACCCCACCCCTCTGCCAGCCCCAGGGATGTCACTTCAATCCCCAGAGATCTCTAACCTCATCATCATGCGGGGGCCCCGGGCCGTCACAAGTTCACCCAACGTCAGCCAGCTCAGCTTCCACCGGATCTGCCAGGCTGATGTCACCCAGGTGTGTTCTCTGGGCCCTGGGGGGCCCTGGGGGCGCAACGGGGGCGGGGGCAGCTCTGAGGGCTCATCCAGAGACGCTCCGTGCTCTGGTCCTCCAGCTGTCCCACCTGGGCCAAGGCACGAGGACCAATGTGTATGAGGGCATGTTACGAGTGGGGGCAAGAGCCCCCAAGGAGGGCGCAGCGGACGGTGAGGACCCCCCCACACCCAGTGAGGACTCTGGGCTGGAGCTCCGAGTGGTACTCAAGGTGCTAGACCCTAGTCACCACGACATCGCCCTGGTGAGTGAGCACAGCCAGGGGCCAGGTGGAAGGACGGGGTGGGGGGGGGCCGGGGGCCGTGGCCACCTGACCTGCCCCATCCCCACAGGCCTTCTACGAGACAGCCAGCCTCATGAGCCAGGTCTCCCATGTGCACCTGGCCTTCGTACACGGCATCTGCGTGTATGGCTCTGAGAGTGAGTGAGCCCCACCACGCCCACCCCCGTTTGCAGACCACCCCCCACTTATACCCACACCCGGGTGGGTACCCCAACCCTCAGCCTGTGTCCTCATCCTGGACTGCATGCTCCACCTGACCTATACCATGATTCCTGACTACACACCTCGATCTCTGACTGCTTGGCCTTCAACCTATACCCCAACCACTGACTGTATTCCAACACCCACCTCGCGTCCCTACCCGACTACACCTTGACTCTTAACCTCCACCCTAACCCTCGACCTACACCCTGACTCCTGGCTGTCTCCTTCCCTCCATCGACCACCTAACACCTCCTCTACCCATCCTCTGTCTACCCTCTGCCAGGGCTGTTGGACACCCCAGTCCTCCCAGATCTCAGCCCCTGCTCCACTTTACTGCTCTACGCTTACTCTGCATGTACCTCAAAACTTCTTGTCCAGGGTGACCCCCACCAGTAGTCCTTAGGTCCTCAATCCCGTGTCCACCTCTTGCTTTCCCTCCAGCACTGGTCTACACCGCAGAAGCACCCAAAGCCTGTGGGATCCTCTCACCACTTATGTCCCAGCCTCAAGCTCCGCACCTCCACTTGTCTCCACCCACCCCTAGTTCCCCTGTCCCATCTTCCCCTTTGTCATGTACATGTCAGCTTTCTCCAGCCCTAGCCTGGACTCAGATGCCAGCATACACCTCTGCCTCACTCTGCACCCACCTTGCCTACACTCTGTCGTGCATTTCCTCTCACCCTAGGGTCACTTGCAAGCTGCCCCCCACATCTCTGCCCCAGCACCTTCCCCACCCACAGTCTCCAGCCCCATGTCCTGTCCCTGGTGTCCTGGAGGGCAGAGGCAGGTGGGCAGCCTCTGTAGTGGCTGGGCCTTTGCAGACATCATGGTGACAGAGTACGTGGAGCACGGGCCCCTGGACGTGTGGCTGCGGCGAGAGAAGGGCCACGTGCCCGTGGCCTGGAAGGTGGCAGTGGCCCAACAGCTGGCCAGCGCCCTCAGCTACCTGGTGCGTGGCCTGCGGGTGGGGCCTGGGTGGGTGGGGAGCGCCACGCTGGCCTGAGCATGGGGTGTGGAGGCCTCAACACATTAATCTAGACACTGGCACCGGGGGATCTTTCCACGAACCTCTTCTGCTCATATACCGCTGTGGCTCCCATCGCCCTCAAGAGGACACCTCACCCCTCCATGTAGTGTCTGAGGTTGCAGGGGGCCTGACCTCAGCTCCTCTGTCACTCTGGCTTGCCATTCATTCCAGCTCCTGGTCCCTTCACCCCAGTTTCCAGAGCACCTCTGTGTGCCAGCCTCTGTCCTAGGCCTGAGGACACACCAGAGAACAAAACCAAAGTCTCTGTCGTTGGGGAGCGGGCATTTTAGTTGGGAGGGGCAAGCAAATAATAACTACACTACATAAAATTTTAGAAAATATTGACAAGTATGGGAGAAAAGCAGGGGTGGAGATAAGGAATTGCTACAGCCTGGGGAAGAGGTGAAGTTTTAAATAGATGGGTGAGGGAAGGCCCCGCTAAGGTGACCTAGAGGAGGGGAAGGAGCCAGAGGCATCTAGGGAAGTACATCCCAGGCAGAGGGAATAGCCAGTGCAAAGGCCCCGAGGAAGGAGCTGGCCGGACATGGTTTGAGGACAGCAGTGGGACCTGACCGAGAGCTTTGGCCACCAGCTCTGGGAGGTCAGGAAGGACCTACTGGGTACCCAGTGCTGCCCGGTCACAATGACAATGTATTTGGATCCCCGTGATTGATTTTGTTTTATTTGGCCATGATTATATTTTTTCACATGAGCTGTCCCTTTGGAGGCCACGTGGGATGGGAGTGGGGGGCAGCATGTACAGCCCCCCTGGTGGTCATGCCCCCCCCGTCCACCCCACCACAGGAAGACAAGAGCCTGGTTCACGGTAATGTGTGTGGCCGGAACATCCTGCTGGCACGGCTAGGGCTGGCAGAGGGCACCAGCCCCTTCATCAAGCTGAGTGACCCCGGTGTGGGCTTGGGTGCCCTTTCCAGAGAGGGTGAGGTCCCGGGCAGGGCTGGGGGCAGGGGCAGGCTTCCCCCCACTCTTTTCACCCTCAGTGACTTCTGACCCTGGCCCCCAGAGCGGATCGAGCGGATACCCTGGATAGCCCCCGAGTGCCTGACTGGCGGGGCCAACAGCCTAACCACTGCGGCCGATAAATGGGGCTTCGGTGCTACCCTCCTGGAGATCTGCTTCGACGGGGAGGCCCCCCTGCAGGGCCGTGGCCCCTCCGAGGTATGTCCAGGGCATCCCTGGGCCCTTCCGACAAAGGGGATTGACACCTCCAAGGAGTCTAGGGGGCACATTCAGGATCCGGAGCTGCCTCCCTCCCCTCTGGCTGTGTGACCTCATGTATATATGTGGCCTCAGCTCTCTGGGGCTCCATCCGGTTATCTGTCAGTTCTGGTAACAGTCCCCACCTCATAAGGTGTCTGTGACACATAGCAAGTAGGTGATATGCTTTGGTTTTCAGCAGAGTGACCAGGGCCACAATGGGAGAACCACAGGCTGTGGGGGTGAGGGAGGACCAGAGGCCTCCCTTGAACCAGTTGAGGGCTTAGGCAAGGCTTCCCAGAGGAGGTTTTAAAGTACAGAAATGCTGCAGTGACCCAAGCTAGGAAGTGCACCCTAGGCGGAGGTCACAGCACGTACAATGGTCCTGAGGCTCCGGTCCATTCAGGTTGCTGCTGGAGGTTCCTGGAGGCAGAGAGAGGAGGAGCCAGGGCAGGGGAGGGGAGGGCTAGTGTGAGCCGCCAGGAGCACAGCAAGAGTCAGCTGGACCTGGGATGGAGCCCTGGATCTGTGGGGGTGGCCAAGGCCGCTTCCCTACGCCAAGCCTGTTGTGTCATATGTAAAATGGGAATGACCAGAATGGGGACCTAGCCTGCTCAGGGAGCTTGACTGTGTTTTGGAGAAGGGGACTGGGGGAGGGGGAGGGCCCTGACTCCTGTGGGTTCCCTCCCTGGCAGAAAGAGTGCTTCTACCAGAAGCAGCACCGGCTTCCTCAGCCCTCCTGCCCGGAGCTGGCCACACTCATCAGCCAGTGCCTGACCTACGAACCAGCTCAGCGGCCCTCCTTCCGCACCATCCTGCGTGACCTCACTCAGCTGCAGCCCCAGAGTGAGCTCCCCCCACGCCCCCACCACCATCACTGGGACCCCTGCTAGTGCCAGCATGGTGCCACTTCGGTTTTGCACAGTGACTCATGTCATGTGTGTCAGTTTCTGATTCCCTTAAGGGCATGCAGATGTCTATGCTCTTTTTTTTTTTTAAGATTTTATTTATTTATTCATGAGAGACACACAGAGAGAGAGAGAGGCAGACACAGACACAGGCAGAGGGAGAAGCAGGCTCCACACAGGGATCCCGATGCAGGACCGATCCCAGGCCTTCAGGATCACGCCCCGGGCTGAAGGCGGCGCCAAACCGCTGAGCCACCAGGGCTGCCCGCCTGTGCTCTTCTTAATGTTTTATTTGGCAAGAGCCACAACTTCCTTGGACAAATTAGGCCCTTGTGATTTTTTGTTTTTTGGGCTTTTGTTTTCTCTTGGGATGAAACACCCTTACCCGATCTAAACACCCCAGATGTCGGTTTTGATGCAGCCCTTTCTGCATTTTGGACAAGTAGAATTTTCCAGCTGTTGCAAAACAAAAACAAAAAACAGTTTCCTTATATTTGAGATCAGATGCTGGGGGAGCAGTGGTCCCCTTTCCAGGCCCCCAAGCCTGGGCCTGCTGGGAAAGAGGCAGGGGTCCAGTGACACCCACTGTGGCCCTTCTAGATCTTGCTGACGTCTTGGCTGTGAACCCCGACTCACCTGCATCAGATCCCACCGTCTTCCACAAGCGCTATTTGAAAAAGATCCGGGATCTGGGCGAGGTGAGGGCCCTAAGGGTCTGGGGCAGGCCCTGGGCTGTCAGAAGGCCCGCCTGCTAAAGACTTGGGGTCGGAGTTTAATTCTAGAAACATGAGTGGGGCCTGGCCTAGAAGACCCTCTACCTCAAGGGAGGCCCTAAGTATTTGAACGGGAGTCCCAGCCCCCAGGGGGACCCACTAACACAGAGTAGGTGGGGCCTAGGACTTTCCAAACAGACCCCACTGGAGGTGGGGCCTGGGGAGCCCTGGTAGGGCCAACCTTCCTGCGTGTCCTGGGGCCAGGGCCATTTCGGCAAGGTCAGTCTGTATTGCTACGACCCAACCAATGACGGCACTGGCGAGATGGTGGCGGTGAAGGCCATCAAGGCCGGCTGCGGCCCCCAGCTCCGCACCTGCTGGAGGAGGGAGATAGACATCCTGCGGACGCTCCATCACAAGCACATCGTCAAATACAAGGGCTGCTGTGAGGACCAAGGTGCGCGGAGCCCAGGGCCCCATTGGAACTTCTGGCTAGAGCCGCAGGCTGGGGGGCATACGGTATGGGGGTGCCAGGGCTGCCTCCTCCCTCCCCTCCCGCTCCTTGGCCTCTGCTGGGGCCAGGATGACTGGGACGGACAGTCAACTCCCTCGCCTGGGCACGTGGGGTCGGCTTTGAGAATGGGCTGCTCCGCTTGAGGACTGGACCTACTGTGGGAGGGGGTGGGTCAGAGCCCCACCCTGGGGGATCGGGAGAAGCCTCTAGCCCCTGCCTCCACCGCCCGCCTGGGCCACCCCTCTCCTGCTTCAGGAGAGAAGTCGGTGCAGCTCGTCATGGAGTACGTGCCCCTGGGAAGCCTACGAGACTACCTGCCCCGGCACAGCGTCGGACTGGCCCAACTGCTTCTCTTCGCTCAGCAGATCTGTGAGGTGGGCCAGCCGGCCTGGTGGTCCTACACAGTCTGCTCACCGCTCCCCACTCTTGGGCCGGCTCCCCAACCCAGCCTGTTTCCACCCAGCCTGTTTCCATGCCCAACAGCCCAGTCCCTCCCAATCCCCACCCTCCCTTTTGCTGGGCCCCCTGCCATCCTGACAGTACCTGCGCCTGCCTGGTCCCCACAGTCCTAACCTGACTGTTCCCCCCATCCCCCTCCCACCTTCCAATCCTGGTCAGGAGCACTCCCCAGCCTCCACCCTGCCCCACTGATCCTGACTCGCCCCCTCCCCCAGGGCATGGCCTACCTTCACGCACAGCACTACGTGCATCGAGACCTGGCTGCCCGCAACGTGCTGCTGGACAACGACAGACTGGTCAAAATCGGGGACTTTGGCCTAGCCAAGGCTGTGCCCGAAGGCCACGAGTATTACCGCGTGCGCGAAGATGGGGACAGCCCCGTGTTCTGGTGACCAGACAGGACCCAGCTGGAGTGGGGTGTCCGGGTCATGTGGAGCAGACAGGGTGAAGGAGATAGATACTGGGGTCTCAGATGTCAGGGCCTGGTCCCAGTGAGACTGCCCCCCCCCAGGGGGGGGCCCTAACTGGGACCAGAGAGCCCCTAAGCCCCAGGTAAGGACTCCACAGTCTGGTCTGGCGTGAAGCCTGAGTGCCCCATCCCCCCAGGTATGCCCCAGAGTGCCTGAAAGAGTGTAAATTCTACTATGCATCCGACGTCTGGTCCTTCGGGGTCACCCTGTACGAGCTACTGACCTACTGTGACTCCAGCCAGAGCCCCCCCTCGGTGAGACGCAGGCCCTCAGCCCCACCCCATTCGGAGGAGTTAGAAAGCCATGCAGTGGATTCCCAGCCCTCCCACTGTGGATTCCCAGCTCTCCCACTGTAGCGAATGCTTGATCCGCCTGGGCCTCCTGGCCCCGGTACGTAAACGGCCCACTTGCAGGGTAGGGGGCTTTGATTGTGTAGAAGCCACTCAAATAGAAACAGCTTGTTGAAGTGTTGCAGACCGGGAGGCACAGCTTGACTTAGATCCTCAGATGTCACCAGGAGACCCATTCTCCATCCCGGCTCAGCTGTGCTCTGTGGCAGCATCTCTCAGCCCCGCCCCTTGTGGGAACCGCGGTTCCCTAGCCCTTCAGGCGCACCGGCTCCCAGCTGAGGGGGTCCCTTTTCTCCCCAACCCCACCCATGCATAATTGAGGGCGTTCTGATTGGCCAGCTTGCCGCCTGTGTCCGTCACGGAGCCAATCACTGTGTAGCCATGAACCACGCTCATTGGCCAAGCCAGGGCTGGGGGAGGAGCCAAGGCTAGGCTGGAGGTTTATTTCCACAGCAAACCAGAGCATAAGGTGTGGAGGGGTGGGGGAGTTGGTGGGAAAGGTTTCTGGACGGATAAAAACGGTTTGTTGAGAGGCTTTAATAGCAGACCCCAGTTTCAGACTTACTCTATGAATATTAGTTACCCAGCTTCCAGTAACTCCGTGGTAGGTGTTGCTACCCCATTTTACAGGTGAGTAAACCGAGGCCCACAGAGATTAAAGTCATAAATCTAAAGTTCTTTTTTTTTTTTCAAAAAATTATTAATGAGAGACACACACACAGAGAGAGGCAGAGACACAGGCAGAGTGAGAAGCAGGCTCCCCGTGGGGAACCCAATGCAGGACTCAATCCCAGGACCCCAGGATTACAGCCTGAGCAGAAGGCAGACGCTCAACCACTGAGCCGACCAGGAGTCCCATAAATCTAAAGTTATGCACCAAGAAGTGGTAGAGACAGGACCAAAACCCCTTGTTCCTGCAGGTTCCTGACCTCTACCCAGGTAGACCCGCCTCCTGAAAAGAGCTTGTCTTGTTTTTATGTAGAAATTCATCGAGCTCATAGGCCTCACCCAGGGGCAGATGACGGTGCTGAGGCTCACAGAGCTGCTGGAACGAGGGGAGAGGCTGCCCCGGCCAGAGAAATGTCCTTATGAGGTGAGACCTCCCTCCCCCTTTTCATCTCCCCGCTGTCGGACTGCAGAGAGAGCAGCCACCACAGTTCCAGTGTCTTCCTGCCCAGATCTATCTCCTCATGAAGAACTGCTGGGAGGCAGAAGCTTCATTCCGCCCCACCTTCCAGAACCTCATACCCATTCTCAAGACGGTCCAGGAGAAATACCAAGGCCAGGCCGCCTCAGTGTTCAATGTCTGCTGAAGCCTACCTGCAGCTCCCAGAGGGACTGGAGCAGGAGGCCCCCCTCCCCTGCCCCAAGGGCCTCCTCTCCCCCCAAGGAACCAAGAGGGAGATGCTGGGCCTCACCACTCCCCGTGCCTTATTTCAGTCTGGAGACCCCACATCTGTGAACTGACTTTCCTCCTGTCTTCATCCCCTTGGGTTGCCATAACAATACGACAGATGGGGTGGCTTATAGACAAATTTATTTCTCACGGTTCTGGAGGCTGGGAAGACCAAGAGCAAGGCGCCAGCATAGTCACGTTTTGGTGAAGGCTGTCTTCTTGGTTCATAGCCCACACCTTCTGGCCGTGTCCTCCCAGGGTGGGAGGGGGCTGGGGATCTTTCTGGAGTCCTTTTATACAGACACTTATGAAGGCTCCACCCTCATGATCTAGCACCTGCCAAAGGCCCACCTCCTAATACCATCACATCAGGTATTAGGATTTCAGTGGAGGAATTTTTGAGCGGAAGGGCACCTGGGGGGCTCAGTCGGTTAAGCATCTGCATTCAGCTCAGGTCATGATCCCAGGATCCTGGGATTGGCTCTGCATCAGGCTCCTTGCTCAGCGGGGAGTCTGCTTCTCCCTCTCTCTCTGTCTCCCTCTGCCCCTCCCCCTCCTAATTCTCTCCCCCTCTCTCCCTCAAATAAATAAATAAACTCTAAAAAAAAAATAAGAACTTTGAAGGGATGCAAACCTTCAAACTGTAGTGCCTTCCACAATATGAGCCTGAGAGGCCCAAGACAAGCAAGGACCTAATCAGGCCCTTTAATCCCATCTTTCTGCCTCCCGCTCCAGCTCCTACCTGTAGGGCCCACCATTTCCATTAGCTGGTAATAAACTCATATTTTCTCCGCTGGGGGCTGTGATCCTGTTCAGCAAGTGTTTGCTTTCCTGGGGATAGCACCTAGAGCAAGATAGTGCAGAAGAAGCCAGGCTGAACTCTTCAACCTTTGCTCACCCCTGAATCACCAGCTAGCGGGCCAGTACCAGAAGATTCTCAGTGACTACTTCCTCAATGAAGGATGGAGGACTTGGGCAGGGGACACCACGTAGTGACTGAATCTTGCCAGGTTCACCCTTTCCTCCCTGTGTGACTTCAAGCCAATGGCTTTCCCACACCTTAGTTCTCAACTATGAACTGGGGAGTGCTCATGCTTGCTACCTCAGAGGACTAACGTAAATAGCTCACGAAGGCCTTTGTGCGAAGCTTAGCAGGAAGACATGCAAACAATGTACTTAGTAAACACTTTATACTATTGTTAATCCGGTATTTGCCAAAGTGTGTTTTTTTTTTTAAGGAAATGATTTAATTTTTGCTTTTATTCTTAAGATTTATTTATTTGAGGGAGGGAAGGAAGGAAGGGCAGAGGCAGAGGGAGAGAGAATCCCAAGTGGATTCCACATGGAGCCTGACATGGGGCTTGATTTCGAGACCCTGAGATCAGGACCTGGGCCGAAACCAAGAGGCAGACTGAACCCACTGCACCACCCAGGTGCCCCTGTCAAACCGCTTTTACTAAATAGGTGTCATGGAGGCAGGATGTGTGTCAGCCACATTGTGAAAGGCAGTGAAATATTTTTCTTTCTCATTGGATTTCTCAAGACCTTGTGCATTGCAGCTCCCTTTATCTAGATAATTCCACACTGATGTATTTGCTATTTACTTTTTATTTTTTTAAGATTTTATTTATTTAGGGATCCCTGGGTGGTGCAGCGGTTTAGCGCCTGCCTTTGGCCCAGGGCGCGATCCTGGAGACCCGGGATCGAATCCCACATCGGGCTCCCGGTGCATGGAGCCTGCTTCTCCCTCTGCCTATGTCTCTGCCTCTCTCTCTCTCTCTCTCTCTCTCTCTCTCATAAATAATAAAATAAAATAAAATAAAATAAAATAAAATAAAATAAAATAAAATAAAATAAAATAAAATAAAAGATTTTATTTATTTATTCATAGAGACACACAGAGAGAGAGAGAGGCACAGGCAGAGGGAGAAGCAGGCTCCATGCAGGGAGCCTGATGTGGAACTCGATTCCAGAACCCCGGGATCACACCCTGGGCCGAAGGCAGGTGCTCAACCACTGAGCCACCCAGGCGTCCCTGCTATTTACTTTTTTTTTTTTTAAGATTTTATTTATTTATTCATAGAGACAGAGAGAAAGAGAGAGGCAGAGACACAGGCAGAGGGAGAAGGAGGCATCATACAGAGAGCCTGACGTGGGACTCGATCCAGGGTCTCCAGGATCACGCCCTGGGCTGCAGGCGGCGCTAAACTGCTGCGCCACCGGGGCTGCCTATTTACTTTTTGTAACAGTTCTCATATTAAATATGCATTATAATTTTAAACTGGGGGAGGGTGGGTAATATTGACATAAGCAGTGAAATATCTTATTAGCCACTACTGTTATCTCCCTGAAGGCAATGAATGTCACCGGTTTCCTGTTTTTGCTTCCAGAGACACCTCATCCAGATATAAGGAAATCTGTAAACATACTATATTTTCTCATTTTTTTTTATATGATAGTCACACACACACACAGAGAGAGAGAGAGAGGCAGAGACACAGGCAGAGGGAGAAGGAGGCTCCATGCACTGGGAGCCCGACGTGGGATTCGATCCCGGGTCTCCAGGATCGCGCCCTGGGCCAAAGGCAGGCGCCAAACCGCTGCGCCACCCAGGGATCCCTATATTTTCTCATCTTTTGCAAAAATAGTAGCATGTGGAGCACCTGGCTAGCTCAGTAGGCGGAATATGTGGCTCTTAATCTTGGGGTTATGAATTCAAGCCCCACGTGGCATGGAATAGCATCATGTGCCACTATATAGAACTCTTCCTCATCTGACAGGTAATTTTGAGATGGTCTCACATATCCAGGCCTATAGTGTTTCCTTGTTCTAGTATATGGTGGTTTACCCAGGTTCAAGAGTATCTGTAGCACAAATTCTCAATGGGAATAGATGCTTGCAGGAACAGGCCTGGTAATTGCCCACCTGGTAAAAGATGTTGCCCCTAGAATATATTTTGATATTGGATAGGGCAGTCTCTTTCCAAAATTATCCTGCTTATTCTTGGGGCGCTGCGGGGGGCTCAGTCCATTAAGCATCTGACTCTTTATATTTTTTTTTAATTTTTTTAAATTTATTTACGATAGTCATACACAGAGAGAGAGGCAGAGACACAGGCAGAGGGAGAAGCAGGCTCCATGCACCGGGAGCCTGACGTGGGATTCGATCCCGGGTCTCCAGGATCGCGCCCTGGGCCAAAGGCAGGCGCCAAACCGCTGCGCCACCCAGGGATCCCAAGCATCTGACTCTTAGTTGTGGCTCAGTTCAGAATCTCAGGGTCATGATCTCTCAGGGTTGTCAGATCAAGCCCCACTTCAGGCTCTGTGCTCAGCGGGGTATCTGCATGAAGACCCTCTCCCTCTGCCCCTCCCCTTACTCTCTCTCTCTCTTTCTCAAATAAATAAATCTTTTTAAAAAATGATCTTGGGATGCCTGGATGGCTCAATGGTTGAGCGTCTGCCTTTGGCTCAGGGTGTGATCCCAAGGTCCTGGGATTGAGTCCCACATCGTGCTCCCTGCAGGGAGCCTGCTTCTCCTCCTTCTTCCTATGTTTCTGCCTCTCTCTGTGTCTCTCATGAATAAATAAAATCTTAAAAAAAAATATGCTCTTGCTGGGCGCCTGGGTGGTTCAGTGGTTGAGCATCTTCCTCTGGCTCAGGTTGTGATCCCAGGGTCCTGGGTTTGAGTCCTGCATCAGGTTCCCCACAGGAAGCCTGCTTCTTCCTCTGCCTATGTCTCTGTCTCTCATTAATAAATAATAACATCTTTTTAAAAAAAATGATCATGCTTATTCTTGTGTAGCTACTTATTAAAATATATATTTGGACCATTTACAGCATATGCAAAACAGGGAATTATAATGTAACAAACCTGAACTTAACAGCCAACACGAGCAGTTTCTGATACCCATTGCCAGTCTAGTTTCAGCTCTACCCCCATCCCTACCCCAGCCACTGGAGACTTTTGAAGCAAATCGCAGACATCATTTCACCTGTATGCATCTTGAAGAGACAGAACCACAAACAGTAGTCATTATCACACCTAAAAAGCTTCAAAATAATTCCTCAATATTTTTGTGTAGCCTGTAGGTGTTTGGATTCCCCCAATGATTTCTTAAATATTTAGTGTTTGTTTACAGTTGGTTTCAATAAAAATGCAAACAAGGCCCATGGTCCTGCAGTGGATTAAGGGCACCCTCCTTGAAGTTCTAGGCTCCTCTTTTCTTTTTTTCCCCCTTGCAATACATTTGTTGAAGATACTGGATTGTTCGTCCTGTAGGGATTCTCAGTCCCATGTCACCCCTGTGGTGTAGTTTAACATGTTCCTCTGTCCTCACCTTGACCAACCAATGGTCAGGTTCAGTTTCCATTTCTTGGCTAGACTTTTACAAAAGCATTGTGCCTTCTCAGCAGGAGGCACTCGAAGTCAGCTTGTCGCTCCTTTTGAGACTCAAGCAGCCACTCAGATCCATCAAGGATCCAGTTTTTATTTTCCAACATTTTTGTACTGAAGCATTGTTAAGGGGCGCCTGGGTGGCTCAGTCAGTTAAGCATCTGACTCGATTTCAGCTCAGGTCATGATCTCAGGGTCATGAGATGGAGCCCCTGTCCAGCTCCACACCTGAGTGTGGAGTTTACTTGTTCATCTCCCTCTGCTCCTCCCTTCGACTCATGTGCGCATGCACTTGTTGCTCGCTCTTAAATAAATAAAGCCTTAAAATAAAAAGTTAGAAGAGCAATACAGTGAATACCTTTAGCTTCCATAATTACCTGAATTGCCAAATTTACCTGCTTAAATGTGCTTGATCATACTGGATCTATCCATTCCTCTACTCATCCAGCAATCCATCTCATGTCTTGGATACAAATCAAAATAAGTATACGTCTTTTATTTTCCTGTGGTAAAATAAACAAAATATAACTCTTGGGGTGCTTGGGTGGCTCAGTTGGTTAAGAGCCTGGCTTCAGGGCAGCCCAGGTGGCTCAGCAGTTTAGTGCCGCCTTTGGCCCAGGGTGTGATCCTGGAGACCCGGGATCGAGTCCCGTGTATATAATATAATAATATTCAACTCTATGTATATGCATATGTATATACCATATTTTTTTTTTACCCGTTCATCTGCTGATGACACTCAGGTTGCTTCTACCTTTCAGCTTTTGTGAAGAGTGCTGCTGTGGACATCGGTGTACATATATGTATTTTTTTGAGTCCCTTTAGGATATACCTACCTAGGAGTGGTCATATAATTCTACATTTTTGTTGGTTTGCTGGGTAATATAATTCTACATTTTTGTTGGTTTGTTTTATAACTCTATGTTTAACTTTTTGAAGAGAGCCGCTCAACTGGTTTCCCCAGTGCCCGCACCATTTTATATTCCCACCAGCAGAGTGGGAATTCCCAACTCCTACACATCCTTGTTGACAATTGTTTTCTGCAGGGTTTTTTGGTTTATTTTTTTGATGATAGCCATCCTAATAGTTGTGAAGTGCTATTGCATTCTGGTTTTGATTTGCATTTCCCTAAAGACTAGTGATCTTCAGCATCTTTTTTGGTGTGTGTTTATGGGCCATTTATATAGTGTCTCTGAAGAAATGTCTATTCAAGTCCTTTGCCCATTATTTTATTTTATTTATTGTTTGCTGTTGAGTTGTGGTCTTGTATTTGTGTCTCCCCCACCCCCAAGAATATTGAGCTCTTGTGCTAATGCCTTTAGACCCTTCCTAGAAGTCCCCCCAAGTATCCTCTTGAAATGTTGCCTTGAAATCCTACCTTGGGGGTAGCCGGGTGACTCAGCGGTTTAGGGCCACCTTCAGCCCAGGGTGTGATCCTGGAGACCCAGGATTGAGTCCCGCATAGGGCTCCCTGCATGGAGCCTGCTTCTCCCTCTGCCTGTGTCTCTGCCCTCCTCCCCCCTCTCTCTGTGTGTGTGTGTGTGTGTGTGTGTGTGTGTGTATCATGAATAAATAAATAAAATCTTTAAAGAAAAAAAAAAGGAAATCCACCTTATCACCTCAAGGACAGTGCTGGTCTGGAGATCCCCTGTTAACTTCCTCTGTAACTTCCAAGAATTTCTATAACCTGGAGATAAGCCCTTGACAGACATACAGATTTCCCCAGCCACGCGTGGGTAAATCTTTCGTAAGTCAAAACAGCCTAAAGTGGGACGTCTGGGTGGCTCAGCAGTCGGGCATCTGCCTTTGGCTCGGGATGTGATCCCTCGGTCCCAGGATCGGGTCCCACATCAGGCTCCCTGCGTGGAGCTTGCTTCTCCCTCTGCCTGTGTCTCTGTCTCTCTGTGTGTGTCTCTCATGAATAAATAAAATCTTTTTTAAAAACCCAAACTGCCTAAAGTGAAGAGGTAATTATCATTAATTTATACGGAAAAAATTGTCAGTGTTCCCCAGCCCAAAGAATAGACTCTCTTAGGCTTTTCTGATACCTTAGGACAGATCTTGCTAACGGATGCACAAAATAAGTGAAGATAAACCACCAATGCTCTGCTCGCAAACACAGGTCAAAGCTCTGGCGCCTGGTGGAGAAGCCTTGGTGGCGCCACTCTTCCCGGGGGGGCACTTCCTCTATAATGTCCACTGTAAAACCAGTGTTGAATACTATTTTTGCTTTCATCTTTTCTCATAAAAGGGAAAATTCTCATCACCTTCTTTTGGCTGACAAAAAAGAGGTACTGATGGAGGGCTTTCATAACAGTGAAGTGGCGTAACGGAACTTTAGAAAAGTGAGGGAGACCAGTATTATTTACAAATAGTTTTGATTTGGGTTTTGGTCACTCTCTCAGGATATTGTGGGAGATGGGTGGTTGGGAGGGGCAGCAGGGGAAAGGCCACATGGGATGGGGGGATGGTCCAGTTCAGAGAGGAGGGGGCATGGCCTTAGGATGGGGAGATGATTGGATGCTAGGTGCCATCGGGGACCTCCACAAGGTTTCTTTCTGGAGCTCGGATCAGAGGCACAAAGGAAGGTCAAAACTTGAGAGATGGAGCAAGTGGAAATTGGTGTAACCACCTGGCCCCCCAGTCCCTTTTTTGGGGTGTGGAGAAGCCAGCTGCCTGGAGTAGCATGCAAGGAGGTCATGAGGACAGTGCTGAGGGCCAGTTATAAGGAGCATCTTCGACAGTCAGTGGCTCGGGATTCAGCTGTGCTCCAAACACCCCACCTCAGCATGGCACACAGAGAATGGGGGGGACCCTCCAAGATCTTCAAAGGTAAAGGGCCCCATAGCAGCCATGCAGACAGGCCAACACAGAGCCAGGCACAAGGGCCCAATCGATGTGGGCTCTGCTCATTTCCATGTCTTCACTCATCTTAGGGGTCCCTCATTATCGCCCCCACGCCTCTTATTTGCCTCATCCCAGGAATATGGAGATCTCATGCTGATGCCTTTACACCCCGCATAGACGTCCCCTCCTTGTCCTCCTGAAACGTTGCCTTGAAATCCCACCTTATCACCTCAACGACAGTGCCGGTCTGGAGATCCCCAGCTAACTTCCTCTCTGAAACAGAACACCCCTCTTTTACCCAAGTTCAGCAGGAAGGAGGTGTCTCACCTCCTCCACCTCACCCCAGTCTTCCTAGTTCAGAGAACAAAGATAACCGTGTGAGCATTTCCTGTTGGTTCATTTGGAGGCCCAGCAGTTGAAGTCAGGCCTGCCCTGTCCAAGACTCACCAGCCACCACGTCCAGCTGGCCGGGTGCCCTACTCTGGACCCCCTGGGCCACAGAATATCTCTCCTGCTCTCCCCAGCTCTGGGCAAAAAAGTAACCCCTGAACTTCTGCAATTTCGATAGTGACTGTGGTTCCGTCCCCGAGTGCTCTGCCTGCTTCACCCTGCCATCATTAAGGCAACTTCCTTTTGCAGGCTGGCCACCATGTTGCCCTCGGGGCTGCTGCTGGGGGCCTACGGGACCTCACTCATCTCCCTGCTTCTGGTCTGCTGTCTGCCGCCCTCAGGTGAGGCAAGTCAGGCTTGGAGAGGGCTGGAGATGGGGGGTTGGTAGAGGCTGGGGGAGTATAGGCAGGGAAGAGCACCCCCCTGCTGCCCTGGCTGCAGTGACACTTCCTTAAACTCACATCAACAGGGACTCTCCAGTGACCTCAATAGAAAGTTCTGGCTCTTCACCTCAGCCTTTGGGGCTCCCAGAGAACTAGTCCCTGCATGTGACTTGTCTCCCACCCCAACACAGAATCCCTTCCTGGACCTCTGTCGCTACTCTTCCCTCTGCCAGGATCACTTCTCTTTCACTCAGATAACTTCTACTTTCCCTTCAAAACTGGTTTTGTCTTCTCCTTCTGGAAGGAGAGCTCACGGGCTGCATCAGGGTCTCCCCTAGTCTTTCTCTGGGCTTTCCTGATCCATCATCTGTCTTCCCCACTAGACTGAGGCGCCGTGAAGGCAGCGAGGTCATGTTGAAAGGTGGGGCCTGCAGGTGGGTAAGTAGGGGTACCCGAACAATCAGCAGAGTGTCCCTCTGTTCCCACAGGTGCCCGGGCGCAGCAATACCAACTGAGGGTGGAGGTCGAGAACACTCTGGTGCCTGCTGGAGGGTCCTTCTTGGTAAACTGCAGTACAGACTGCCCCAATCCTCAACTCATCATTCTAGAGACATCCCTAGCCAAGAAGCCAGTGGGCAACGGCCTGGGCTGGGCAGCCTTCCTGCTAAGCAATGTGACTAGTGACAGCCAGGTCCTCTGCTCCGGCTTCTGCAATGACATCCAGATGGTAGGCTCCTCTGACATCACAGTATACCGTGAGTGATGGCACCTAGAGTTGGGACTGGCCTTGGGCAGTAGTGGGGGTAGATGACCAGTGGTGCAGGGGGAGCAGGGAACCCCGAGTTTGCAGAGACGGACCAGTGCTCTGACCCAGAGTTTGAACCTGAATGTGTGTGTGTGTGCGTGTGTGTGTGTGTGTGAGAGAGAGAGAGAGAGAGAGAGAGAGAGAGATGCATCTCAACCATATGCCAAGGCAACAGCTGTGAGATCGATTTACTTGGTCCCAACAAGCATTTTTTCAAAGATGTCTCATGTCTGTTATTTATTTTATTTTTTTTTTAAAAAAGATTTTATTTATTTGAAAGAGGAAGAGAGCAAGAGAGAGAGAGAGAACACGAGCAGGGTAAGGGACAGAGGGAGAAGCAGACTCCCTGATGAGCAGGGAGCCTGATGTGGGGCTCAATCTCAGGACCCTGGGATCATGACCTGAGCTGAAGGCAGATGCTTGACCAACTGAGCCCCCCAGGTGCCCCTATTTATTTTATTCTTATGGCAGGTAATAATTCATGCATGTGGTTCCAAAATCAAAAGTTATAACAAGGCATAAAAGTCAACCTCCATTTCCTCATTTCCTAGTGCTGGCTGGGAGTGCTCACTGTTTCAGCGTGGGCACTAGGTGCTCATCCAATCCTTAAAAAGCTCCAGGCTGGGGAGGTACACTTAGCAGCTTCCCTCCACAGATGAGGACCACAGAACTTAGTGGGGTAAAGTCACTTGGCAGGGCTCACAGTCCACGAGTGGAGAAGCTGGTCATCTGGCTCTCAAGTCCTTGCTCCTAACAGATGAGTCTATCTCCCCAGCTCCCATAGCTACCAGTCTCTTATGGTTCCTGCCAGAGTTTCTTTGCATTTAAAGGAATATGATGATCAGAAAATAGAGTATGTCACTCATGGTTCTTACTGTTTCGTGAAGCCTCCATAGAAAAGTGTGGTATACGGATGTGACCATGTGTATGCTCCTGCTGCGGGCCAGCATCTGTGTTTGTCTGTGTACCTGTGTGTGTGTCTGTGAGTCTATGTATGTCTGTAGGAGTGTACATGTGTACCTACAGATGCATGAGCATCTGTCTGCCTGTTTGTGTGTGCCTGTGTGGGTGTCTATGAGTCTCTGTGTGTGTGCGTGAATATGAAAGTGAGTATGTTGATGTCAGGATCCAGGACTGTGTGTGAGTGCCTGTTTCTGTGTCAATAGTTGTCTTTGTGTGAGTGGATTTGGATGTGGATGTGTCAGGACATGGTTCTGGCTCACAGGAGCCAATGGTACTTATCTCTTCCTAACCCTGGGTCACGTTGTAGCTTAAAAGCAGCCAGAAAAAAAAAAAAAAAAAGCAGCCAGAGTGGGAGTTATGTACACTTTAGAGATTGGCAAATCCTCCAGGTTGGGGCTATCCCACCACACCCCATCCCCTAGTTCCTGAGCATTAGTAGCATTTGCCAGCACACCATCATCTCTGACCAGTGGTTCCTGAGACTGAGATGGGGGCCTCTTTGTTAAATACTCTGAAATTGTAAATACAGGTTTCTCCAACTATCCCAAAGTAAAGCAGTCCTATGAAACCTTTGTAAGTCAAAATGATGTAGGGGCACCTGGATGGCTCAGAGGCTGAGTGTCTGCCTGTGGCTCAGGTCATGATCCCGGGGTCCTGGGATCGAGTCCCACATCAGGGTCCCTGCAGGGAGCCTGCTTCTCCCTCTGCCTATGTCTCTGCCTCTCTCTGTGTGTTTGTCATGAATAAATAAATAAAATTGTTAAAAAAACAGAAAATGATGTAAAGTGAAAAAGTAATTAATTTATATCGAAAAAACCTTGAGTATTCTCAGACCCAAAAACTAACCTCTCCTAGGCTTTTCTGGTACCATAGGACACATCTTGCTAATGGATATACCAAATAAATGGAGTTAAAGCACCGATGCTTGCAGACACAGGTCAAAGCTCATCTGCTGCTAGAGACGCTGAGTGTGATCCTGGTGAAGGAGCTTGACCGCCATTGTCACTGCACAGGGTTGCCTGCTGTCTTTGTAACTCCTCATTGCAAATCCAATGCTGAGTGCTATCTTTGCTTCTCACCAATTTTTTTAAAGGTTTATTTATTTATTTGAGAGAGAGCATAAGCAGGAGGGGCAGAGGGAGAGAGAATCTCAAGCTGACTCTGAGCTGAGCGCAGTGCCCAATATAGGGCCTGATCTCATGACCCTGAGATCATGACCTGAGCTGAAACCAAGGGTCAGCGGCCTAACCAATTGTGCCAAGGCACCCTTTGTCATTTTTTCTTAAAATCAAAAATCCTCTTTGGATTTCTTTTACTTAGCGAGAACAGGTACTAATTAATGTAGGTCTTTCATAAAAGTGAAGTGGTTGTAATGGTACTTTTGGAAAGCAGGGGATTCCTACAGTAAGATGTTAAAGATTTTTCATAGCAGCCAGGGTCATAGTTGAGATCAGGGTTTGAGTTGTTGAGGGTATAAGATGCTTCCCAAAGGAGGCCCAGGGTTTGGTACACATGCCTGGAAGGGGCACTGTAGCTGCAGCTGGGAGCAAATCCAGCCTGGCAGTGTCGAGTCCCTCAAGACTGTGCCTGAGCACCCTGAGAGGCTTCCCTGTAAGAGTCTCGGGCGCCTGGGATTGACAGAGGAGACCAAAGGCAGAGTCCAGGACAGAGGCTGGGAGAGGGGCCATTAGAGTCCCTGGATGTGACATCAAGGAGGCAGGTGTACACATGGGTCTGGAGTCTGGGTGACTCACCTTCTAACCCCAGCAGGGCCTCTTTCTGGCTACGTGTCTGTCCTTGGGTGGATCACCTCACCCCCACCTCTCTGGGCCTCAGTTTCTTCATCTATAAAGGAGAAGAATAATAGAGATTTCACTTGGTTGCTGTGTGAATGAAGGTGAATGACATTTGGAAAGTCTAAGGAAAACTCTAAATAAACAGGAACTTTTATGAGTACTAATAACATTGTAAGTAGTTCCAATTTAGTCCTCTTCCTTCCTTTTTTTTTTTTTAAACTGTGATTTTCTCAGGAACAGAAAATCTGACTTATTTCAGAGTCTGGCAGAGTATCCCACAAAACAGGAAATAGCAATCATAATACTAATGACAATAGCAAACACTTCTCCAGACACAGTATTAAGCCCTTTGAGCTGATTAACCCAAAGTTCAGTTCTGCACCGGGTCACCCTCAGCCTCCTCCCTGTTCTGTGGGGGTAGGAGTTGCAGGGCCGGCTGATAAGTACACTTCTCCCCTCCCTACCCCCGCCCCAGGGTTCCCGGAGCGAGTGGAGCTGGCACCCCTACCCCGCTGGCAGCCCGTGGGTGAGAACCTCACCATGACCTGCCAGGTGGCAGGCGGGGCGCCCCGGACCAACCTCACGGTGGTGCTGCTCCGCGGGGAGGAGGAGCTGAGCCTGCAACCGGCCGTCGGGGAGCCCGCCGAGGTCACGTTCACGGTGGCGGTGGGCAGAGAGGACCACCTCGCCAATTTCTCGTGCCGCGCGGACCTGGACCTGAGGCCCCGAGGGCTGGGATTGTTCCAGAACAGCTCGGCGCCCAGGCAGCTCCGAACCTTTGGTGAGGGACGGGACTGCAGAGGGTAGGTGATGAGCTGAGCCAGCGCAGGGGCGCCCTGGCCGGGAGGTTTCTTGACGATGGAGTGAACTGGACCCTCAGCGGCTCCGGGGAAGGCGTGCCCTTGGCCCCTGAGGCCGGTGCAGCCTCAGTTGGGAGCCCCGCGGCCGCGGTAACAGACGAGAAGCCTGAGCGGGTGCGTCCTAGGAACAGGTGTCCTGGGAAGGCAGAACCCTGGCTCGGGGCTGCGAACGTCTCAGGCGGTAAAGGGGTGCCGACGGCTCTGGGACCTCTTCCTGATCACGCCTACCCTTCTCCCCAGCACTGCCCATCACGGCTCCGCACCTCGTTGTCCCTCGGATCTTGGAGGTGGGAACGACTCGGTCGGTGAACTGCATCCTGGACGGATTGTTCCCGGCCTCCGAGGCCCAGGTCCACTTGGCGCTGGGGAACCAGACGCTGAACTCTACAGTCGAGAGCCACGGGGACACGATCAGTGCCACAGCCACAGCCGTAGCGAGAGCGGAGCAGGAGGGCGCACAGGAGATAGTCTGCAACATAACGTTGGGGGACGACGGCCGGGAGGCCCGCGAAAAATTGACCGTCTACAGTAAGAGGGGGCGGAGCCAAGAGGCAGGCCCGGCGGACAAGGGGGCGGGGCCTCGGTGTCCCTGGGGACATGTGGGCGGGGACTAAACGAGAGGTGGGGCGTGAGCCTGCAGAGAGGGACTGCGACTGCACGGTTGTCGTGTGGGAGGGGCCTAAATTACACGAAGGGTGTAGCTAGAGTATCCCAAATTGGAGTGGGACCTGAGGGTGGTGCTGAGTAGCATAAAGGCATGGGTCGGATACCCCCAGAGGAAAAAGGCAGATGAAGGGAGTGGTCAGTAAGCTCCAGAACAATACCCCCTCTTTAGGCTTCTGGGGGCCCACCCTAAACCTGAGTGAACCCAACGCCTCCGAGGGGACTGCAGTGACTGTGACTTGCGCGGCCGGAGCCGGCGTCCAGGTCATGTTGGAGGGACTTCCGGCCGCGGCCCCTGGACAGCCTGCCCAGTTTCAGCTAAACGCCACAGAGATGGACGACAGGCGCAGCTTCTTCTGCAATGCCACCCTCGAGGTGGATGGGGAGACCTTACACAGGAACAGCAGCGTCCAGTTGCGTGTCCTGTGTGAGTGGGTCCCTATGATCTTTAAACCCTTGCTCCCTTTGCGCCATGGTGCCTCGAGTGTGTCTAATCATTTGACCGATCTACAGACGGTCCCAAGATTGACCAAGCCAAATGTCCCCAGCGCTTGACGTGGAAAGAGAAAACTACCCATGTCCTGCAGTGCCAGGCTCGGGGCAACCCGGACCCCCAGATGCACTGTTTTCACGAAGGCTCCCACGTCGAGCTGCCTATCGGGGTCCCATTCTTCGTCAGGTTAAACTATACTGGTACCTACGCCTGCAAGGCGTCCAGCTCACGAGGCGTACACACTGTGACTGTGGTGATGAACGTTCAGGGTGAGCCAAGACGGGGGGCCACTGGTCCAGGTGGGAAAGCCAGGGCGGGGGTGGGGCGGCAGAACGTGTGTATTTATTCTTTGCTTCTCTGCATAGATCGGAACCTCCGCGCTGTCAACATCGTCCTGGGGGTGTTAGCGATCCTGGGCGTGGTGACTACCATCGCAGCCTTACTGCACGTCTTTGGGGTGCAGAAGCGGAGTGACACCTACCGTGTGAACCAGGGGAGCACTTGGTTACCCCTGACGTCTAGGCAGCCCGAAGAGGCTGTGGGGGAGAATCCATCCTGAGCTTCCAGCTGGGATGATGGGGGTTTGGCTGTATCCCGGGGTTCCACACCAATAAAGCCCTCAAACCCCGGAGTCTGTGGCTTGTTTCCAAACGCGCCGAGTTCACCCGCGGCGCTTCACGTCCTTTGAGTGACATCTCTGTGGCAGAAAGGGGAGGAGCCTGAGGCGCCCAGACGCGGCTTGAACTCTGAGAGGCGGGCTGGGCCTTAGCCAATGGGCTGAGGGGGTGGAGAAGGAGGTGGGGCTTCTCCTGGCCAATCGGCGGGCGCGCCCTCGTTGCCGCTCTATGCCGCTCCGCCCAGGCTCGCTGGTCCCAGAAGGCGCCGGGTTCCCCAAGATGGCGGCCGACGTGTCCGTTACTCACCGGCCCCCGCTGAGCCCGGAGGCTGAGGCCGAGGTTGAAACTGAGGATGCCACGGAGCGCCGGGCGCCCGAAGAAGAACTCCCGCCCCTAGATCCAGAGGAGATCCAGAAACGCCTAGAACATACCGAGCGCCAGTTCCGTAACCGCCGCAAGATACTGATCCGGGGCCTCCCGGGGGACGTGACCAACCAGGTATGGGGGGGGCACGGCGGGAAATACCACCCTGCGCGTGCGCGGGGGGAACCGGGCGACACCAACGCTGGCCCGCGCTGGGGGGCGTCGGCGGGAGAGTCCAAGCGCGGGATCAGTGCGGGATCGGGAGAAACCAAGAGCAGGATATGGGGGGGGGGGCTGGGCAGTGATGGAGGGAGAAACCAACCTTGGGCTGAGGGAGGACGTTGCTAGGGGCGACCACAGGCTTGGACGAAACCAAGTGTTTGAAAGGGGCGGGGAACTGGGAGGGGGCGGGCAACTTTGGCCTTGTTGGGGGATTGTGAATGGGCTGCTATATTGGGACTGTGGAAGTAGGGATGCCAGTTGCTCCCTGCTCAGATAGTGTTTTTCCCCACCCCCTCTACCCTGGGGTGGCGGGACCTTGTATCCAGAAGTTTCAGGGTTGACTAGAGTATGCCTTTCCATAGCACGCGTTTATCTATTCCTCTGCGAGATCCGGAAGTTGTGGTAGCTCCTGAGGTCTTTCTTCCCCCAATGCCTCAGGATTAACTTGGAAAAATGGAGTCTCCTGCCCCCAGTTCACAGACCTGCAGAAAAGGGGGGGGGCACTATTCTGTGCTCTCTCCTTTTTCTGATCTGGCCAGGGGTGCCCTTCTTTTGGGGCCTACATGGGGCAGGGCTACCCGGTGCTCTTTGGACCCAGGGAGATTGCATCTAGTCTGCCCTGCCCTGCCACAGTGGGATGGGTTCTTTCTCCCTGCTGCTGAGAAATCTCTGCTCTCTGACCCACCCACACATCTGCCACTGACTCTCCCTGCCCATAAATAGGCACATGGCTGTGGGGGGGGGGGATCTCAAACTGTTGGGACGGGCAGACTTGAGGACAGACCTGGGGCAGATGCCACTAAGCACCATCTGTTTTTTTTTGTAGGTCTGCCTCTCCTAGTGTCTACCATCTCTTAGCTGGGAACTCTCTTTCAGGGGGCACGGTGTGTCTGGCTATAGGGGGCCCCAGAGTTGGCCTTCCAAGCTAGCTTACCAGAAGGCCAGCTCTGTCAGCAGGAGGGAATTAGGAGGCACATGAAGCCATGCAATGTGGGCTTATTAAGTACACAGGGTCCCCAGTCAGGTACCCCCTGGGTGACATTCCCTCTGCTGCCCTAGCCAACTGCATGACCTTGGACATGTTTCCTTGTCTCTCTGAGCCTCAGTTTCTTCATCTACAAAATGGGTTATACCTAATTTGTTGGGATGTTGGAAAGAGTCAGACTTGCAAACAGGTTCAGACGGGTTGAAATTACTTCCCTAAGGGCATTCAGCAGAGCTGGGCTTGAACTCAGACCCATCTGACTCTTGGGCGTATTGGGTTATTTCAAATCTTGGAGTCTGCAGCTGGGCTCTGAACCCCAGCTCTGCGTGTATTTCCTCATTTGTAAAAGGAGGATACTAATTGATTTGCCTCCGTAGCTGGTCCATGTGGAGGTGGCACTGGGCTGCTCCCTTCAGCCCCTGGTGACTCCGTGTCCTTTGGCTTCTATCTCCGCAGGAAGTGCACGACCTGCTCAGCGACTATGAGCTCAAGTACTGTTTTGTGGACAAATACAAAGGGACAGGTTTGTGGGGCTGTGGGTTGGGCTAGTGGCAGGAGGTGATAGTCCGTGAAACTGGGAGGGTCCAGGCCGGTGTTTCCTCTCCTGAACTTGGGGCCCAGCATCGTCCCCTGGGCCATGCAGGACAGATTGTTTTCCCACTCTGTCTCATCCTGGGTGCCCATCGTGGGAATGGGCATTGTGGGAGGGCTTGGTGCTCCTCCCCAGGGCTGCCCAGCCAGATACCTGGGCATTGGGCTCCCCACCTCCCTCACCATTTCCCCCAGCCAGCCAGCCAGCCAGCCAGCCACCCAGGCCTGTCTGGTATTCTCCTTCAAGTCCTCCAGAATAATTGGTGCCCCTCCATTTCCTCAACTTCCATCTGATCCATGCCCCCTACATCTCTTCCAAAGTAGCAGCCTCCCTCTGGCTTATCTGCCTCCTGGATTTCACGCCCCTGCTTGCCCTCCCCCCAGTAGCCAGCTCTGATCCAGTCACAAATCTGATCAAATCTGGCCCTAACCTTCATTATTTTCTCTCTCCAAAACTCTGAGGCTCCTCCTGATACTATCTTGCAGGGATGTGGCCCAGCCTTCCTGTCCCCTCGGGCCCCCATAAGGTTCTAGGCTCTTCCCTCTGCTGGTGCCCGTAGTTGTCCACTATGCCGTCCAGGTGGCATCAGGCAGCCCCACCCATCATAGCACTATCACCCGGGGCTATGGTCAGTCTCTCACTCACCAGCCTCCTGCACTGAGTGGCTGGCTCTGTGAGAACAGGGATGGGTCTTCTCAGACTTGGCACTCCCCAGCCCCTGGCATGGGAAGCTCTCTACGGCTGTCTACACCTGCCAGGCATTGTGCCAGATTAAACCTTCTAGGGCCTTTTCTTGCAGTCTGTAAGATGGATGAGAAGAAGCTAAGGACAGGTAACCCCTCGAGACCTACTTGGTGGGTTAGGGTGTTTAAGATCTTGGGCTCTGGAGGCAAATGGACCTGGGTTCAAGTCCTGGTCTCTCCTCACTCTGTGGCCACAGGCAAATGATTTACCCTCCAGAGCCTCAGTTTTCTCACCAGCATATTAAGGATGACCTGCTTGGGTTAGCCATGAGGCCGAACACATTAAAATACCTAAAAAGCTGTGGTATGTAAAGTGCTAGTAGGTACTTAGTAAATATTGGCAGGGGCAGCGAATCAGAAGTATTTACTGAGCACCTAGTGTGCATATGTGCCAGGCATGGAGGATCCAGAGGTTAACTGACACTTTGATTCATATAGTCTTCCAACAATGTTTATTGAATGTTGTGTGCTGGGTGTTGGGTACATAACTGTTAACCAAGCTAAGACAGTCTAATCTGCGGAGAAGGATGTTATTCAGACAGGTGCAGACATGGAAGTTTGTACCCTACACGCATTAGGCCAGAAGCTCCAGAACCCTGTGAGAGCACAGAGCTGGGATTTGAGACAGGAGAAGCCAAGGGAGGCTTTCTGGGGGATGTGATGTTTGTAGGCAGCTTAAAGGGTGGGTGGGGGTTAACCAGGTAAAGCAGCATGGAGGTCAGGGTTCCACGCTCAGGGAAAAGCAGGCGCAAAGGCCTGAGGTGGAGTGTGTCCGGCACAGTCCAGGAAGTAGCAGCAAGAGATGCGAGAGGAGGTCAGCCAAGCCACACAAGATCCACTGGCCCTCATCATGAGAAACCCCTATTCAAGGACTGGCATAGTCTGATTAGCCTTTGGGAAAGCTCCGGGAGTGGCTGTGGGCTTGGATATGAGAGGAGTGGGTGGCCTGGAAAGGAGGGGAGCAGGAGGGGTGCAAAGCAAGGCACTGGGCTTGCCTGCCTGGGTTCAAGTCCAGGCTTCTCCACGCAGGGAGGGGACAGAGGGTGCTGCTCTGGATCTGTTTCTTTGCTGGCAACATGGGGGTTGTGGGGAGTGCGTTAATCTCATTTCACGTGAAGAAACTGAGACCCCAGAGCCATTCAGGGGCTAGAATTGAAATTCAGGCTCCAGTGACCACAAGCTTCACCATTGCCATGCGTCACCTAGTTAGTCACGTTTGGGACTCAGCAGTAGGTGAGCGCTGCTGTGGGTGGGGAGCGGGGCTCACGGAGGGGGGAGACGCCTGCCCACAGCAGTGCCTCGAGGCCGGCAGCCATTCACTCGGCCGCTACCTGAGATGTCCAGGTGGTTGGGTATTCTGAGGTCACGCAAGGTTTCGAGGGAGGTGGTGGGCGGCCTGGGGTGAAGGTCGGGGCCCTCTGGGTCCCCACTGACCCTGCGCCCCCTCCTGCCGCAGCCTTTGTGACTCTGCTGAACGGGGAGCAGGCTGAGGCGGCCATCGGCGCCTTCCACCAGAGCCGCCTGCGGGAGCGCGAGCTGTCCGTGCAGCTGCAGCCCACGGACGCCCTGCTCTGCGTGGCCAACCTGCCTCCCAGCTTCACACAGCAGCAGTTCGAGGAGCTGGTGCGGCCCTTCGGCAGCCTGGAGCGCTGCTTTCTGGTCTACAGCGAGCGCACCGGCCACTCCAAGGGCTACGGCTTCGCTGAGTACATGAAGAAGGACTCGGCCGCCCGGGCCAAGTCGGACCTGCTGGGCAAACCGCTGGGCCCTCGCACCCTCTACGTGCACTGGACAGATGCTGGGCAGCTGACCCCCGTCCTGCTCCACTCCCGCTGCCTCTGCGTTGACCACCTGCCACCCGGCTTCAGCGACGTGGACGCCCTGCGCCGGGCACTGTCGGCGGTCCACACACCCACCTTCTGCCAGGTGAGCCCTGTGCCTGGTGCAGAAGCCTGGCGGAGCGGGTGCCAGGGCCAGAGCACCTCAGAGGGGCCCTTTGGAGTCACCTGCTTTTTCTAATCTCCTGGGTCCCTTTTTAGGGAAGCAGCCACAATGCCACTTTGAATGGGGTTCTTGTTAGGAAGGCCACGTGGTATTGTGGGTGACAGCCCAGCTAGGAGCCAGATGGCCGGGGTTCAGATCCCTGTACACCCTTTAGCGACTTGTTTAACCTCGGTAGCCTTGGTCCTCCTATAAAACTCAGGTGAGACTGCCTTTGTAAAAGCTCGGTGCAAGGCTTGCTCACCTCTTGCTCCCGCTTC